TTAGGCTGGATGCAAGTAGTTAAGGCCACGGATAGAACGATCGACGAATCAATCTGTAACGAACCAGAAACGGTAATTGTGGATGGATCTGCTCATGGATACCGAATTTACTCACCATGCAGCACAACACTTACAATCCAACTAACCAATTTAAGTGCTTTAAAGCATCAAAATGAAATAGTTGATGAAATATTAGACCGGGAATATCAAGATCTTAGAATAGAGAATACGAATTTAGAGTTTACTGAGCCTAAACACAGAGATAGGTTAGAGTCCTTTTTTCACAAACTTGCTACAAAGACCGCATATGATAAATACCATTTCATGTATTTCGAATACCCAGATATGACTAGGTTGCAGAAAATCGAATCTGCCACTAGCCATTTATGTAGTAGAGTTGTTCCACAAAAGCTGCGTAACTTTCGATCCAGAAAAGCCAAAGAAACCAACATAGCATTACACACATGTAATGGTAATTTTATTGCCGCCACCATCTCAATCTTCTCCCAAAGTAAGATAATTCCATGGGTTATATGTTTAAGATGTGATATACCATCTCTTGATTGGATTGGCAATGTTAATGGGCCCGTGGATACCGAAATATATATCTCTCTCTCCAATAGTACGGCCAAATCAACTGTTTTACGTCAGCAGATCAAACAAAAGGTCTGCCTAAACATAGCATGGGAGTCGGAGGAGATGAAGGATGAGATCTGTGGCCGATGCCGAACAAGGATTGATAAAGAGGGGCATCTGATAAAGAATCCTAATGTGCGAGTCATAACGAATATCTATGCTCCAACAAGGGGGATAGCTAATACCAATGAAGTGGCAATTTCTAACCCAACTCCAATTCACTGACACCCTTAAGCCTTCATGGTCTACCTCTACTACTTATCTATAATTTATTCTATCCCAATACTAACCCAATAATCGATAGATTGAACTCAAACCAACCATAACTGCCAATATTACCCACTAGCACACAACCTAGCTTCTAATGATGGGTTATTTCCAAAAGTATGTCTCTATTTGAAAAGAGGCCATTTCATTCTTCTACTAACCCAGTACTAACCCAAACAAATAAGCATGATAATTTCTTAGCTAATCTAGCCAACTTATCTTGTCTTATCAAATGCTAGTCTTAATGGCATCTATTGCAACCGCAATAAAACACCTTTTCGGTCTAAACTACTACCTATAGTTAAATGCCCAACCAAGACACGAACCCAAATACAAACAGAACACCAACAGAATACTAACACAACTTAACACTAATTTACATTGCCAAAGAAAACCATATCTTGATGTTTAATATAAACCGAATCATAAGAGAAGAATAGCCAGATAGGAAGCAGATAAGCACTACTAACTTAGCTCTGCTTATAAAAGAGCTTGAAGCTTGCGGCAGTCATCGGTGTTATGATTCTTGGATCGGTGAAAAGTACAGTACTTTCTGGACGGAGCTGCATCGACTGGTGGAGAGCTAGTACGCGATGATTCAGTTGGATCGGACCAGAGTCGTTGCTGGACTTGGCTGATAATGGTTTGTTCGTGGGCCAATAGCCGCTTAATGTAGTGCTCAGGAGATTCACCAGTTTCACGAGGAGATTTCTCTTTAGTGGCTGAGGACAGTCCGTATTGGAAGTATACCTCGAACTCTCTTTCGGCCTGGGCAGGTGTTAAGTCAGCTAGAACACGTTTGCGCTCAACCGCTTCTTGGAGTGCATCAATGTACTCTTGCAGGAGATAGAACTGTTTTTGTAGTGGCATAGTCACACCATCACTAGCATACATGGCATAGTAATGCTTAACCACAGCATCCAAAGCGTGGCTAACTGTTTGGTGCTTAGCAACTTGCGCACGAAGACCTGGCAAAAGCAGACAGTCCAGCAAGTGTCTTTGTTGGTCAGCCGGAACAGCCAAAACAAAGCAGAGATCTTCAAAGTATTGGCGCCAGATACCAACATAACGCCCATAGAAGTCGTTGAGGTATTTGAGTTTAAGATAGTCCTTTCTTCCATCATTCTCCAAAGCAACAAGCTTTTCTGGAAAGTTGATTTGATTGGGCTCAGCTATTAGTTGAAGGCTACCAGCCGGTGCATTTTGAATTCTTTGTTGTAAGGTTACCATTATGTCATGTCTTAGGTAGGGAATAGATCCATAGGCAGAATACCAATCCAACAATGATTTGCAACTTTGGGCTGATTGTTGATTCATGAGTGATGTTTAGTAAGAGAAGAGAAAATAAAGTATCTAAAGAAAACAACAGAAGAATTACCATAAAAGGAAAATTTACAACCATCCCCAAATAACAACTTTGTCCCCTACAACAGCAAGCTTACCCAACCCCATCACCAACCCAACATAATACTCCCCCCACCCAGTTCAACATAACATAACACCAACTCAATTTCACCATAAACACGTCAAATCCCCTTCATTCCCTTACAACCAGCACTCTAACCTCATCCAGTAAAATCCACCACAACTCAACCCAGTACTAACACAACACAACATAACTCAGCCCAAATACCAACTCAACCCAATCCAAACCCAAATACTAATCCAAACCAACTCAAACCAAACCAAATCAAATACTAAAATCAAAGTCAAACAGCTTTTAATTAACCCCCTGCAATCACTAATCCAAGTCACCCCCTAGCAATTGACATTAATTACACTCTCCTAACTCAATAACAATTGAATGTAATGCAATCTTAGCCAACATTAAGTAACAACTTAAGTCAAATCCATTTTAAAAATTAGAATATGACTACACATACTTCCGACTTAAAGAATAGTTGTGGACCGATTCCGATAACAGCCTCAAGGATAGAGAGTTACCAAGAGAAGCCCGAAATCGTTGTGCCGGCGCCTGCCATGCGATATGTTTCGTGGAGGAAAGAAGCCTGGTTCTTATTCGAAGGAATACGACTGGGTATACTAGTCCGGCCTAATCGAGCCGATCAGATCACTATTCTAGGAGCGACTCTTCAACTGCTTTTGCATTTACTTGGTTTTGGCGGGATCTATCTCTTCTTCTTTTCCTGCTATGGTTCAACACCCGAGCACTTGCGAACGAATTGGACACTAGCGAGACAGGTCGAAGGACTGGCAGTAGAGTACTTTTTCCGTTGGATCTACACTTATGCGACTGCTATTTTCGTTTATATGGGAACATTTGACCGCAGCTTCCTTTATCTTACGTACTTGATTGTTTTGTCGCAGTTTTGGGTTTTCATTGGATGCATGCTTTATGGTTTGTTCTTCCAACTGACTGAGAGTCTTTTTAGTAAGCAGTTGGGCCTGCTTATCTTCTTATCGCTTATCTCGGTTTATTTTACCCAAAAGAATCTGATTGCCAAGTCGGCTAATTATGGAGTCAAGAAGTCAACCCTTTATTTATTTGTGGTGATAAGCATCCAAACTCTTTTGGTTTATGCCAATTGTGCTCTCTTTCCTAGAATGGTGCTTTTTAAACAGGGGCCATAATGCAGAGATAGTATTTTTTAACGGAGTAAAGTAACAAACATAGTTTACTGATAAGCGAGCTTCGAATAAAGTTTAAAATTTTGACTTAGATATGCGGAGATTTGAAAACAATGGATGTCCTATCTGCGTAAACCCTGGTAGACTTGTTGTGCGCAATGAACTACGCAACCTCAACTATACTTTGGGCATGCTGAACATCTTCAATGAGCGCCGAATTAGCTCGGGCAATAGTTCGGTGTTTCTTTTGTTTGTTGGATATCTCGTATTTATAGTAGGTCTAACTGCTGGAGCATTGCAGTATATTATTGTTATGAATATACAAGGCATGCGCTGTATAGTGGCTAGTCTTGAACTGTCGGTTAAGTACATCTGTGGGTTTGCCAGTGTATTTATAATCGGCTGGGCACTAGCACAGCTTTGGTTTGAACTTACACCACTAACGGCAATATACATTCTGGTTTATTCCTGTGTCTTGAACACATTTCTTTCCTTTGCGTACATTATCCTGCGCTGTTACTTCATAACGTATATTTGCCACTACTTCACTCCGCCATTGATTATGCCCAGTTCATTGGCTGAGTGGGGAAGTAAATGGAAGATTATTATCCAGGAGATAAACCAAGCCTTTCTGATCGATGGTTGCAATAGTAATATCAGTAGTGGCTCCTGTACGATCTTTTCTGATTGTATTGTTTTTCTTCTGATACTATCTTCTTTCACGTACATATCCATGATTTACTTTCAAATGGCCGTTGGTCTTACCTACTACAAAAGCAAGGTTAACCAACTCCAATCAAAGACTATGGCCGGCATCTTCTGCCTCCTTAATCTAACCCTATTCCTAACTATTAAGATGTCCTGGCACTTTATAAATGCATAGGCCAGTCGGTGCCAGATATACTGAGCAGCAAAGAAGCAAAGAGACAAGAACAACATAGATAAGGACTTTAACACTAGTGTATTAAAATCCGCCTAAGATAGATTGGGCCAGCTTGTATAGATATAAACAGCAGCCCAACACAAACCAATAAACATATCACAACATATACATATGCCTTGCTTTTATCTAAGCATACATCACATTACAACACTCCACCAAAGTCAAACCAATCCCAAACCAAACCAAACTCAAACCCAACTCAATACTATGCATAAGATGCTTTTATTCGATAAGAGAAAGAGCCCGGCCGAGTGACCAACTAATATCCACTGGAATCAGCGAGGCATCTTTGATCGGAGTGAAAAGGCCCACACCAAGATTCTCCATAAACATAGACGCATATATTACAGTGGGGCACTTAAGAGATGGTGGAGGTGTTGAAACCGTAGGTACAGCCTGGGCAGACATGGGACTTAAAGCAAGCTCTAAACCTGTCGCGCCAGACTTCTTAACTACACAAACCGAATCAACGAGACTCTTAATATCCTTAAACTGAATATTACTCGGGGTATTGAACTCATGAAGAATCTCCGAAATGAACGACGAAACAAAGACCGTGCTAACTTGTGAAATACCCGGCGCAATCTCTTTCCCACCGGTCTTTTCCAAAATCATGGAAGATAAAGAAGCTTTCATATGACGTTTACATGCCGTCAGCTCAAACGTCTTCTCCCCCCAAGCACACACTTGCTGCGTATCCAGCCGGTGCACCTGCTCCAAGCCAGCCACCAAACCCAGTCCTAAGAACGACTTAGAAAGAACCTTCTTCTTCTTTCCCTCCACTATTCCGTCCTGGGAAGATTGCAAGTCACGATCAATTTCAAAAGAAATTTGGGCCGATCCACCGCCCAAGTCAATAATTGCTATCTTATCTTTTGATTTAGTCGCAAAAGCCAAAGCCGCCCAAGCATAAAACCCTTCTTCCTTCCCATCAATTACCCGCACCTCAATATCCTTTTTCTTGGTCGCCTTAACTAAAGCCTCCTTCACTTCCGCCAAAACTCGTTCCCGATGTTTCAACTCCACCAGCCGCAAACCAGCCGTCCCATTAAACACCACCGGAAAATCATACTGCTCACTATGCCCTTGACTCGCCAAGAAAGACCTACCCCGAGCCAGCAAAGTCTCAATATCCTTCATCGGACTAGCACTCTGGTGTATCCCAGGAGAAACACTCTCCAGAACGTGTTTCTTCAACTCAAGACCTTTAGCATCAAAACGATAGATATTCAACCGCGTGCCCGTCGACCCTCCATCAAAGACCGCCACAAACTGGTCCTGATTCTGGCCCGGTTTACTCAGTCCTTCTTTCACTCCAATCTTCTCATAGATAAGCTGCAACCCTTTCTGCACCCGTTGTAACCGACTTATTTCACTCCCTAATGCCTCAATATTCTCCTGCAACTCCAACTGCAATTCATTCTTCTGCGCCTGCACTACACCACCACCAATACCCACACTAAATACTAAGCCAAGACTAAGCCATCCGAATCCAATCCGAACCCATACTTGCATACAAACACACCCACACTCCAGCTTATATCTCACCTGAAACAAAACATGACAAAACCCTCCCAACCAGGTCTGATTACTCTATTTCCTAAATAGGACATTTTCGGCAAATGAGAATTTTGATTTCAACCTAGACAATGCATCTAGAAGCATCGCTGTATTTGACTTTTTAGTGTTTATTTTTCATTAGCTTATGGATACACCACTGCCTACTGATATAACTAAAGAGTTTCTTGTGCTTTTGGAAACTTTGGGAATTGAAGGATCGCGAAAAACTTCAATGTTAGCCCTGCCGTTAGAACAGCAATTAGGAATGATTCATGCCCAAAAAAGCTCAGCTAAATCTAAAACAGAAACACCTCAAGAAATTCTAGATAAGATCAGAAATGCCAAAAAGCCATTTAGCACTTCCTATAACATCACTGACATTGATTTATGTGCTGACGTACTTAACAACTTAAGATTTACTTGTGTTTCTTTAACTGAGCAGGAAGCTCAAACAGTAGCCGATCTAGGGATTGTGGAAGAAGTCTGGTCTTTAATCACTATGCTTGTTCCTAGTGAGTGGCGGACTGAATCACGGACTTATATTTCCTTACATGAAAGTAAGCAAAACAAGCCGATTTTTAAGATCTTAGAGCCTAGTGTGAAGTTGTTTAAGGTTTTAGTTAAGTCACCGGCTATCTTAAGGTACATTAAGAAGAGTGAGGAACTGTTTGCTCGAATTTTTGCGGTCTTTCCTTCGCAGTATACTGCTATCTCGGAATTGGTTTTGGATTTAGGAGTGCGATCTTTATCAAGTACTTTACCTCTGGTTTTGAAACACTTTTTTGATCGTAAAGAGGTATCTGAAGTTCATGTTAAATGTGTACCTTTATGTTCAGTACGTTTACCTTATATTATGGAAGAGATTTACTATAACTTATCTTTAGGGAATACTAGTGTGGAGTTTTTGGGTTTACTAGTTGATATTTTGATTGGGTTTCATAATGAGTCGGGTTTAGTAGGTATTATGGTAGATAGTATGCTTCGTTTTTGTGATATCACGAGGCTTTTAGCCAAGATTAAGCAAAAGGAGTCTGGAGTGGCTAAAAAGGTAGATATGCTGATTCAAAAGCAAGAAGAAGCCAGGGAGTTAGCTACTAAGATAGATGTACGTACTCTTCAGGAGGAAGAAGTCTTAGCAGAAACTAAACATGATCTTAGTGCTATTATTACCGTTTTAAGTGTTCTTCATAAGATTAATAGTAGTCGGATCTATGATGTTCTGCACTATATTCGTGGGACAGTATTGGAAGAGGTTAGTTTCAAAAACAAAGATATAAGTAATATTGCCCAGGAAAGAGAAGCTCGGATTCAAAAGATTCAAGCTATGCAAACTAAATGTACATGTAATCAAGGATTTCGGCAGTCGCCCTTACCTAATGCTGCTCTTCTTGTTGCCCAAAAAGAACCACCTAAATCCACTGAAAGTCTTACACCGCAACAATCTACACCTAAACAGTCCTCTTCTCCTTCTATCCCGATGACGTCATCCCCTAAATCATGTTCATCTCCTGCTCTTGTTTCTACTACGACCTCTCCCCTTATTCAAACTATCCCAGAAGCACAACCAGCCATATCCCTACCTCCCAAATCAATCAAAGTACCTCCTCCTCCTCCCACCTCCCTCAAAGCACCACCTCCACCGCCACTGACTCCCAAGACAAGTATACCTCCTCCTCCTCCTACTTCCCTTAAAACACCGCCACCTCCACCCACTCTCAAAACACCACCTCCTCCGCCCACTCTTAAAACACCACCTCCTCCCACTTCACTCAAAACACCTCCACCTCCTCCCACTCTTAAAACACCCCCTCCTCCTAACTCACTTAAAACACCTCCACCACCCACCTCACTTAAAACCCCGCCTAAATCAACTCCTCCCCCTCCACCCGGCCGAAATAAGTTAGGCCCCTCAGCTAGTACTCCTAACGTAGCAGCACCACCTAGTGTGGCAGTCCCGGGTAAGCCAGGACCTCGAGCTCTTTATCTTGAAGAAGCCGGTAAACTGCGACCTCATAATCCGCAACAATTATCCTTTGATGTTTTCAACCGTAAGCCACAAGTAGAAGGACTTTGGAGTAAACTTGATAAGCGGAGTTTAAGTGTTTTCAAAAAAGAAGATTTTCATATCTTTGCTCGAGATAAGACTAAATCAACTACTATTACAGACACTCCTCAGCAATCTACTGAAACTAGTCTTTTTAGTCCGAAAAAGTGTAAAGCCATTGACATTGTTCTAGCTCGTGTTCGTGTTCCTTTGAAAGAGTTGATTGCTGGAATAGATAAGCTTGATAGTTCAATGTTTTCAGAAATCTTAGTGGCCGGTCTTTTAGCTAACTATCCAAGTGATGAAGAGTTTGAGTTGATTAAGAAGTACGAGACTAAACTAGTACCAGAGACTTTCTACAAGCTATCTTTAAAAATCAAGCACTTTAAAGATAAGCTGATTGTTCTTCATTTGATAGCTACAGCTCATAATATTTCATCTATTATCATTCCAGGACTTAATAAGCTGCGACAGGCCTGTGATCTTATCTATTATGATACTCAAGCCCATCGGGTCTTGCATCTAACTCTTGATGTCATCAATGTCCTGAATGCTTCTAGTCGGAGTGAAGGTGCCTGGGGAGTGAAAGTAGATACTTTGCCGCGTATCATTGAGAACAAAAAAGTGCTATCTCTTATTCGAAAGAAGGCCAAAGATCTTAAGATTGATTTGGAGCAATCAGTTCCTGTTTTGGAAGAGGTTTTAGCTATCTCTTCAGATATGCTTGAGTCAGAAACTTTGGAGTTCCAAAAGAAACAAGACCATATTGAAGCTGCTCAACTCAGCCAGTTGCAAATGGCCCAACTTGCTCCCGTCCTTACCCAGCTTGATCTTTTGGACAAGGCCTATGCCCGGACTAATGACGCTATTACTCGGCTTCGGACTTTCCTTAATGAGAAAGATGCCCGGGGCTGTAGTTTTCTTTACATCCTCAGTAAATATATCATATCTGTTGCTAGACAAGATATAACATCCAAATAATAAACTTTATTTAACTTCTTGTCTTTGTCCAAATTATTTTCCTTTTTGGGATATATATCAGTTTGATTCTAATTTTTTACATGAGCAATCCATTAGATATTGTCTTACCATCTGGCTCTGATTTACCTGATCTGAGAAAAAGATCCTCTTCGGATTCGGCCATCACAGTATCAGATAAACAAACTCAACAGTTGCACAAGCAGCCAATCCATTCTGAATCTGAAATAACCCCTCAAGGAGAATATTATGATTCTTTCCACCCGAACCACTGGTATGATCCAGTCCCAGAAGATACAAATATAAAATCAGAAACCATCTCAGCTACGAACTTAACCACACCACAACCACCACAATATGATGACGTGTCTTCCCTGGCATCAGACTTTCCAGCACCACCAGTTCCTAGTCCTACAGAGAATGCACCACCAGTTCCTAGTCATGGAGTAGCACCGCCTCCAGTTCCTAGTCATGGAGTAGCACCACCTCTAATTTCTAGTCATGGAGTAACAGCACCTCTAAATCCTAGTCATGGAGTAACAGCACCTCTAAATCCTAGTCCTACAAAACCGACAGCTCTTAGTATACAGTTTGAGCCATACAATAGCAGATCAAAAATAGCATCGATCAAACAAGATACTTATCTAAAAAGAACAGCTAAAACCGCAGGATTATTGCTAGAAGTACTTTCAATGCTGGCATTTTCGGTTCTAGCATATCCTCTCATGCTTTGGGTTCTTACTCTAGTGGGAACTAAGTTAGCTTATCTGCCGACCTTTACATTTAATTTGGACCAAGGTTTAGAACTGCTTTACTTGGGCTTAATTGGGAGTGTCGTGTTTTTCTATCTGCTATATCTCCTCTTTAATCTATTCCTCAAGTACACGACTCAACCCGAACGCCAGATGTCAAAAGGGTATAAGACTGCCAAGAAAGTAGGCAAATATCTTGGGTTCTTGGCGGTTTTCATTGGTACAATTGTTATTTTGGCATTATTTGGGTACATTGCAACTTTAGGCCCTAAGAATGATTATTTCCAAATGGTACATAAGCATATGAGATCGCCTATTTTCTTTTGGCCGGCTGTAGCTTCAGCCATTCTAATGGTTGTTAGTCAATTGGGAAGATTCATCGATAATCTTTTCTCTAAACGTAGGCACAAAACCCATGCTGTTATCAAAAACTACATTCTTTTGGCATTTACCTTTATACTGGCCGTTTTACTGGTTATTGCTCTTGTTCACCACGTGGTCTTCTCTTCCTACTCTCATGCTTGGCTAGATAACATTACTAATGTTAGCCCATAGAAGGCTTCTTAAGCCTAACCCAAGCAGCCTTTAACGTTAAGTTAATCTGCAGCCTTAACTTAATACCAAACCAAACCAAACCAATCAATAAATCGAACTCAAACCAAAACACTCGCCCAAGATTAACCCAAATATTAACATTGTCGCATTTATGGGAGGCAGCCGCTGGTTGGGTTGGTACTAGACTAGTGTTTCGTTTGCTACTGTCTCTTATTGTAGGCCAAAAAGAATGGTATAGTTGGTGTAGTGCCGTTACACCACCAGTACTCTTTCTTTAACCCAAATCCCTTTATTCATTGATTGATATGGTTGTTACAGACTAACCCAATGCTATCGCAACCGTAGCTTTAATATAAAATTGGGGGTATCCAAAGTATCCAAAATTACCGAATGCCTCGGGAACCACTAGAATTTGGATATGACGTCATCCTCTTATTTACTGTCGTACACAAACAATAAATAGTTGGCAATGCCGTTTCGAGGTATGCCACTGCAGGAATTTGTATCAATGCCAAGATGTATTCTTGCCTCTGGGCACTATATTAGTGATTATGGCTTGCATCTGTTATGTTGATAGTGGGTGGTGGCTTCTATCTTAGTTGAATTTATGGCTTTGGTTGATTACAACTTGCACTGGTAGACTTGCAGAACAGGTAAGCTAAGCATACAACAGGCTGTTTGCAGATGGTAGTGAATCAGGCAATAATAGCAGACAATCGAAAAGCTGAATTAATAGATTTTTGATATCAGTCATGTCCAAAAAAGGAAAATCTTAACCATGGTAGAAAGTACAAAATTTGATCTAGCATGGAACATAACGACCTTATGGGAGAAGACAACACACGAACAACTTTTGGATTTTCTAGCATACATGATTATGAGGACCAGGACTATCCTTACGGACTGCCTAATTACCTCTATACAATCCAGAACAATAGCAACAACAGCACTACTTCCACCAAATCCAAAGACTCAATAATTCGACTCCGACACGTAATATTATCTTTGTTGTGCTCTGGATTCCATGTAATTGCTGTTGGTACTTTAGTGGGTATAGCTTATATCAATCTCACTAACCCAAACCTTGGCAATATCAGTAAGAATCAGCTAGGAGTTTTACCTCTTATTTATCTAGGAGTATCTGCTGCTTTGCTTATTGTTTACTTTAGCTATCTCATTACTCGGCTTATTATTGAATGCAAGACTACAAAGCAACGAGTCCTTGGAGTCATTCGATTCAGTTTGCCCTTTCTTGTAGTTTTAACTATCATGATCACTTATTTGATATCCTACTTTGCCACTTCTAGCATCATATCGTTCCAGAATTCGGTTATGGACATCATGGGATACAAGCATGCTTTTACTATCTCTTTTGTAATAGTGGCGATTTTACTTGTCACATATCTTGTGGAGCTAGGCCGGCGTCTCTTTAGCAAGAACCGCAACACATCCCGATCTAAATTCGTGACTGTTCTGACCGGTCTAATGTGTCTACTACTCATAGCACTCGCTGTTTCCTTGGCGACCCCTTACATTCTCTACTCAAACTATCCCAACTTCATCCAGAACAGCCATTAAACTACCCCAGCCCACTTTAGCAAGTGCTTAGTATTGGATTAGAGATAGAATAAAGTGATCATTATAAAATCAGTATCTAGATTCAGCCAAGTAAAGTTATTTTAGTTTTTAACCCAAATATGGATCGTAATGATAAATCAACTATAACACATAATTCATTTAATACTGATAAGAACCAATTGTCCAATGAAGCCTTAATACAAAGCGACTGTGCCACAGAAATCCAATTCTCGAAGACTGCGATTCAATCAACCGTTAAATCGAGACATAAACCGAAAAGTACAATGTTGGCATACCTATTTTTGACTCTTCTGGTTATTGCGGCAGGGGCTGTCTATCTGATCACTGCTCGGCTGTTCATTTACAACCATATAGATGGCAAGATCGTTAAGTGGTATGCCTATATGATATACATTCTTTATTTAGCCTGCTCAGGTCTATTCTTCTTTACAGGGCTTCTTCATACCTGTTTACGTCTTAAACAATGGAGTTTTTCTGACCACAACTCGAAACAACGAAGTGGGGACGGCGCCAGTAGAGCACTAGTACTAGTTGTAGCGTTTGTGGCGATCGTTGCTCTTCTAACTACCTTGTTGTTCTGGTATATTGCCCGACAAGAAGACGCAAAGACTGACTGGTATCTAATTTTCCCGCTCTTTATTTATCCCGCAGTGGGACTCTTTTGGATATTCATAAAGCGCCAACCCACCAAGAAGTCCAATACTAGCCCACCTGAGTTTAATTCCCTTCAATATACAAGAACGTTGACTATTTTGTTTTTGGCCGTTTTTGTTATTTCGATTATCTCTATGCATTTATACTGCCTCGGCCTTTGCGACTATCTGAGTACGCTGCGGCCAGGTTCTTTCCTCGGCTTCTTTGGCATCCCTATCGAATAAATCAACCCTATTTCATCAAATACATTACTCGCGCTCGATTAAACCATTGCTTTGTTGCTTTACTTGTTATTAGTTGTTATTAGGCGTTGGATTAGGCTGGGTTCAATTGAGTTGGGTTCAATTTATTGATTGTAAGGGCAAAGTAACATTGGATTGGGTTGGGTTAGAGATTGGTAGAGTACAACTCCAAACTATAAATAGATGATCGACTTGGTTTAAGAAGATACTAATTTGATGTTATAACACAGAATCTTAGGTATTGTATCACGTGATGCCCAATGTGTTGATACTTTATTCAATAAATCCTACGAGCGTCCAGTCTGACTGCGTCTTGGTTAGTATTGGTTTAGTTTGGGTTAGTATTGAAGAGGAGGGTGGTATAGTAAGATAATGGTTGGATTTAGAAGTTTTTGAATTCAATTTCAAAATCTGATATAAAACTACAGATCGAGTTGTTCACTGAGCTATTTACAAACAACTTAGGCTAGAAGCCGATTATTCACTCTTTGTCAAATCAATTCAAGAACTTGGTCTCTCAGCTGCTGCCAATTCTCTTTCCGGTCGTTTCTCTTTTGTCTTTTGGCATTCATCTTCTTCTGCTTGCTCTCTAGAACAATGGCTTGTTTTGAAAGAGCAGCAAGGTTTGGAAAAGTAGTGCCACAACCGATAAACCCGGCCAAATAAACAATAAGGATTAATGCCGGTCTGATTTTGTAGGTCCTATTATCACTCTAAGAATAACCCTTATTTCTTTAGAGAGTATAAATTTCCTATTGGGGTAATTTCCTTTTTAGGCAATTTCCTTATAAGGCTGTGGTGAGAATATCAAGGTAAACAAGTAACTAAAGACTGTAAGAATAAACACAATCAGACTTTATTTAACATTTAGTTATGCCATTTGGCTGAACCTTGACCACTCAACATAATTTAGTGGAGTTGGTTTGTTGGCCTGATTGGGTAAAATCATTAGAGGCCTGCTTGCTAAGCAAACGTATTAATGCTGAGTTGAATTCTCGGCTTGTTTCTTGGCAGTAGAGCTTGAGCTGGAACTTGAGCTGGAGCTTGATTCGAATTCTGGCTCTTCTGAAACGGCCTGGGTGTTAGTAGGCTCCGCAGCAGCATTAGCTGAGCATGTGTGGGTTGGATGCGTGGTTGCGGCATGATCGTGATTGCAAGTTCCCACTTGATGATCGTGGTTGCAAGGACGCTGGGTACTTGGATGACAGCTAATAAATTGGATCAGTAAAACGGCGACGAGAGTGATTAATAATGTTGATTTCATTGGATAGCTAAAAAACAGAAGTATAAAAATGGACAAAATTTCCTTTTTAGGAAATATCAGTGCTTACCCCAAAAAATTTCAATTTCTCACTAACTAATATGGATCTAAACGTATCTAAATCGACCCAACAAACCAAGGATAATAAATCTGATGAAGATTCAGGCATGGGTTCCGGTCAGACGAGTCAACTATTGGTAAGACACCCAAATTTTAAGAAACTTCATGGTTCTGATCGCTATTATACACCGCCCTTCAGGAGATCAGCGACTATGGGATCGAATAACAAATCAGATATAGACCCGGAGGAACCAACCAGATTAAAAACAATGCATACCCCGTCTAACAGTTCTGATATGAAAGATAAATCTAATGACGACAAGAAAGAGAAGAAGAAGAACCCACAAAAAAGCATATGGAGGCAGATACTAATTAAAACGGGTTGGGGCCTAGAAACCTTAGTTGTGGCGGGGTTTAGCACGATTGGCATGATTTTCCTAACTAGCTTAGGGATGTTTAGTATCCTGCAGATCTATCACAACTCTTCTACTCTGATAAACGCCGCCTTTACTGTTTACACTGGGTATGCATCATTGTGCGGTCTGCTTCTTATATTCTATATGCTCTATATGCTACTACGGGCCTTGGACAAGCGCTTATCTCAGACCATACGCAAAATTGAGATGACAAAGGCCATAATCACCATATCGATCGTATTTGCCTTGGGCTTTCTTTTGATGTTTGCGGACTACTTCAAAATAGAAGCTATCAGCTACCAAAAGACATTTACTTCGGTTAAATCAATTAAGCACATAGTAGCGGCAGTTATTGGGTTGCTGATAGGAATATTTGCTCTTTTCAGCTGCCGAATTGTCTATAATGTCACTACTCATAAATGTGTTTCGATTGCTGCTGTGGCAAGAACCTTCTTGCTAGGAGCGGTTTGCCTACTTATTGTCGCTTTACTTGTGTTTATGATGGTTCATCTTATCTTCTACTCTGAGTCTTTCGTTTTTATGACGGGAATGGCCAAAACTACAGTCACATAATAAAAGACTAGAGCTTTATTGGATTGAATTGGGTTCAATTTGTCGATTACAATGCATTGTGTTTCTTATTGGGTTGACACTAGGATTGGATTTCATCGTGGTTGTACCATTCTTGCTTGGATATATCTAAGTGGCTATGAATATTGGCCTATCTCAACTTTTATTGGGTGTGTGACTATCAAAGATTATGTTTCTCGCGGATGGATTTGTTTGAGACGAGATGCTTATCTGGGGTGGATATAAATTGTGGGATATAAAATCTCCTTCTGGTGTTATTGCCGGCTTGAGCGCCTACATCGAGATTGGCGAGGTCGCTTTTTGATTTTCTTAGTCGATACTGGGTTGAGTTTTTCCTTGGAATCTAAGATCCCAATGAGGTTGTCGAAGATGTGTAAACCGGTATTGGGTTTGTCTGGTCTTCAGAAGATTGGTTGCACTCGGATTTAGGAGGGTTAGACTTTAACGTCTCTTGCGCCTTCAGGACTAACCCAACACAATCCACCCCAACCCACGGTATTGGGTTTGTCTGGTCTTCAGAAGGTTTGTCGGATTGGGTTGATTTCGACCTGAAAAGTCTTACCGGCTTGGAATGCGGGACTGGCTTTGGTCGCCAGTTTGATTGCGTCGATGGTTGAGGTGTTTGTGGCTGGGGTGTAGTGGCTAGGGATTTCTGAGTATTAGAGAAGCTTGGAATATTTGGATTAGCTGGTGGGGGGCCGAAGTGGTTTAATGAATCTTGGTTATTGGCTTGGCTTACAAAAGGATCTTGGCTTCTTTCATTCGCCAAGGTTTTCTCCGACTGGCTTGTTAAGTCACATTTTTCCTCGGCAAATATGCTGTCAATGCCGGATGCTTCTGTGTCAATCATCTCACATACATTCTTGATGTACTCATTGCGGTCGCTAGCTATGCAAGTAAACAGGGGGTTTTGTTGCTCAGTAATAGCTTGGTCGCTCTGGCTTCTTCCTTGGTTGTTAAGAGATGAGTTGTCGGCTATACTGCTTTGTGACTCGGGGACATTGTCGTAGATACTGACCCGATTGCTCTGGTTTCTGTGTGCGCTTGCGTTTGTGGTATTTGGTTGGTTGGTAATGTTGGTGGTATTGGTCGGGTTATTTGGATGACTGTGGCTGCTTGAGTTGCGACCTGGGTTTGGGTTTGGGATTGGATAGTTAGCCTCTTGTTGGGTCAGAGTATATCTACCTTCGTAATCATCAGTAGATGTCGTGCTAAAACAACTCCACCTACATTTGCAAGTCACAGGGGGAATAACGATTATCATTAACAAAGCCAACGGTATAATTTGGTATAATCTGACGTTTGTATTGGTACCTTTCATAAACTTCAAAAACAATTTGATTTTTATCTAGCTATGATTTTTGTTTGGTTATAGCTTAATTGAGATTAAACAAAAACATTGGCTAAATAACCAGATACAAATATTATATACAGCTTTCAAACCAGTATGGTAATACCACCAAACACAAATAAAAACACAACAACTAATAGCATTAAACCCAATATTCTAGCCTAACAAAGAATGCAGTTATCACTACTATCCAAGTCGAAATAAACACTTGAATTCAACAAGCACGATAAAATAGGTTAAGTCTACCAAAAAGCAATATAATCTCTGAAAATCCCACACTAACCCAATGCCAGCCACTCCATAGAAATGAAAGGATACTAACCCCATACTATTACTATATTAGCCCTATTTCCTAATTAGGAAAAAGCCCGCATTGGATAGCCTTTTCTTTTTTGACGGATCATGGATACAGATCAGCAAATGAATGGCTTCGATGGTATACCTCGGTCAACTACACAGTTTAGCAAAGAAGAGTCGCCAATTGACTTACCTTCAGAACTTAAGGATAATTCTAATTCCAAAACTATCTATAACGGCGCCTATGGCATTCGTTTAGCCGAAATTGGCAGAATCATTACTTCAGTGCTCGTATCGGCCGCAGGACTGGCTTTAGCTATTTACTCAACTACCCGGCTTTTTGAAGTAGGATACTCAGCCCTCCATCTGGGCATTTTACTTATTGGAGTTTTGACTGCTCTACTGATTGTTTCCCATATCCTAATTGCTATTGCTATACAGAACCGGCATCGGAAAATCAAAACAGTGATTGGTCTTATATTTAGCGTAGCAGTGATCGCAACTACAACTGTTATTTACTATCTAATCAAAACAGCAACCGCAACTAGTATAACTGATCTCTACACCAAAGACATTTTTGTGATTTATTCATTGTTTGCTTTGTTCTATCTCTTCTACATCTTTGAGGCCATTGTGACTTTAATCCTAAACCAGTATCGAAGACAAATGTCTAGGTACTGTCCACTCCTTTTTACTAATACCGAATCACGACGAAAAAGGCTCCTTTCGTCACTCAAACTAGCACTAACTATCTGCTCAATCATATCCATGACCGGTTTGTTGATTATTCTAATTATATGCCATTATAAGGTAGCAACCAATGCAGCACACGATCTTATCCTCTAACCACTAGCTTTTGAATAAATCAAATCCTAAACCATTATCTCAACTTTTATCTTCAATCTAACCCAATATCAATCAAATACTAACTCAATCAAATACTAACACAATCCAATACTAACTCAATCAAATACCAACATAACCCAATACCAACACAACCGAATCAAAACCTTATCTTCTAATTCGGACAGAAGATACAAAAGTTAAGCTCCTGTCGAACAAAGGCACTACATTCCAGACAAACTTGTGCGTCACAGCCCGGACAGGCATGTCGGCTGCTACTTTTAGTCCGACATACTCGGCATTCACCCCCTTCCGCTGTTATGTACATTGGCGCCGAGTCGGTCCAATGCAAGGCCTTAAGTAAGTGCACAGCTGTACTCAGTATTCCTTCACAAATTGGGCATACGCCCGGTAGACTACAGACCTTCGTTGTACAGAAAGGACATTCGTATCCAGCTGACGTCATACGCAAGTGACAAGCACAAATACTTTCCTCATGAATAACTGCTGGAAATCCTACTTGGACCATCGACAGACGCACAGCCGAGCTATGCGGGGCCGGCACACAAACCAAATCCAGCAAAGTCCCTAAATCTTCCGGCGCTGTAACCACACCAAAGACTCCGCCACTTTCCGTACTCATCCGTCGTAAAATATCCATCTCACCCGCCATATGCACCGTGTGTATCTTAACTCCTTTAGCTAATAAATTGTTGATTTGTTGATACGGACTTTTTCCAAAAAAGGAAAAAGAAGAAACGATCAAGATAATCTCTTTCAAAAAATGACTGCCTTGAAAGAACACAGCAGCTGCCTCCAAGGCTGCAAACAACGAAAATCGCCCTGATCCCGCCCGGCCCCCAAGAGCATCCTCCAAAACCTCTTCTTCAGCCACTACTGAGGCCACCATCTGAGCCGTCCCATCAGCTACACCAACCACTCCTAAAGTTGAGAGGGGATTACTTTCACTAAAGCCCCGATAAAAACCACAAACCGCATTCTTAATATGCGATCGCCGTGAAGGCAGTAAATCTCGCTCCTCTACTGCCTCAGACATATCTACGATCAAAAGCACCCGTCTAACCACTCCCCGTTGAACATTTTCAGTTCTTCTATTCACTCGCAAAGCCTGGGCTGCTTCTTCCTTTCCCGCACCATCCCAAGTATTCTGAAACTTCTCTTCCCATCTAAACCGACTCTCTTCCATAGACAAATTCTTTCAACTCTTCCCATATACCCCCGCCAAGTTTAGATTAGATTGGGTTAGATTGGGTTAGAGTGAGGTGAGTTAGAGTGGAGTTAAGATTAGGTTGGGTTGTGATTGGATTGTGTTGGGTTGGGTTGTGATTAGATTTGGTTGGGATAGATTTAGTTAGATTTAGAACTAGAGTTAGATTTAGATTTAGTTTAAATTGAAATTGAATTGGATTTAAATTGAGTTTAAGTCTGGATTGAGTTTTGATTTAAATTGGGTTTGAATTGGATTTAATATTAAGTTGAGTTAAGATAAGATAAAGATTGTGTGAGGTTAAGTTAGTGTTAGTTGGATTTGAGTTTAGATTAAGTCAGAACACTAATTACACTATGACTACATACTAACCCAATACTTAATTACTTAACATCTATACTTTATTTACCCCACTAACTCACTAGCTTACTATCACTATACTACCACCACCTTACCAAAATCAAAATCCACTTCACTCAACGCAGCCTAACTCAGCAGTAAGACAAGCCATTGTTTTTAAATAAAGGTCTCTGGTTTGGGTTTAAGTCTATCCTATCTAAAGTTACCCTCAACTTAACTCAACCTAACTAAACATAACCCAATACTAAACATAACTCAACTTAACCCAACTTAACCCAACTTAACCCAATACTAAACATAACTCAACTTAACCCAATACTAAACACAACACAACCCAATTCAATCCTAACTCAATACTAAACTCAAACTCAATTCAACATAATCTAAATCTAAAATTCCAAACTTAAACCCATACAAACCCCACCACACTACAACACCAATCCAAACCAAAACCCAACCCCACTTAACCCAACTTAAATACTCCACTAAAGACTAAACTAACACATATCCACTATCTTTAAGACGTGTTTAAGCTATATAAATTCTTGTTATTCTTTTGTGTATTATGCGAGAAAAAGAAGTGGTCCTCAGTAGAGAAGATACTGATCTTCTTCTAGACTGTGCTCGACTAGTGGGTATAATTACAGGGAATTCCGATCTAAAAAGAATAGCCGATTCAGTTGACCGACCAGAAAACTATGAAATAATCCATTGTTTAGTGCGTGGCGGGCATAGTGAAGTCTTTGTAGTGCGTTGTCATAGTACTGGCCAAGTGTTTGCCCTCAAGAAAGTCCAGAAGATGCATATTTTAAGTGATCCATTGGTTAATCCAATTATGAGAGAGCGAGAGTCAATGATTCTTGGACGGCGCAGTGAGTGGCTACTGGGACTGCATCGTTCTTTTCAAGATGAAACTGCCCTATACTTTGTGACCGACTTTATTTCGGGTGGTGACTTAGGCAGTGTTTGCTGTAAATTAGGGGTTTTACCTGAGAAGTTAGTGCGTTTCTATGCGGGTGAGATTCTAATGGCTTTAAAGGAGTTGCACAGTCTAGGAATGGTCCATCGGGACATTAAGCCTGAGAATATTTTGATTAGATCTAATGGACACATTATGCTGGCTGATTTTGGTAGTGCAGCAGCTATGGTTGGTTCTGATCATGGTTTGGTGGTAGGTACTCCTGATTATGTAGCTCCAGAACTACTGGCTATGACGGGTGAAAGTATTTGTGAAAAGGTCGATGTTTGGTCTTTGGGTGTTGTTATCTATGAGCTAGTTTTTGGGGCCACTCCTTTCTTTGAAGAAACGATTAAGAAGACTTACGAGCGGATTATGCGCATTGATTTTACAATTGGCGAATGTTCGGCTGAACTGAAAGATTTACTACTTCGACTGTTATGCGAACGATCGGAACGTTTATCAGTAGTTCAAGCTATGGATCATGTTTTCTTTACTGGTTTTGATTTTGTAGATAAGGAAAATAATGCAGTAGAGTACGTGCCTGAAGTTCATGCTCGGGATGCAGTGGATAATTTTGTAGTGGATGAGTTTGAGCCGATTGTTGGTGTAGCTCCCGGGGCACTAGACCATTTACAGAAGTTCTTAGGGTTTGGGTATGCTCCTGAAGTAAAAGTACGTGGACATTCGCCGGCCGGTAGTGAAACATGCGAGTATGTAGCTGCCGCTGAGTGCAAAGAAGTATCAGCTGGTGATTTGGAAGGTTTAGAAGTAGCAATGAGTAAAAGTCCTAGTCCAGAGAATTTAAAGGTAGATGCAGTGGTTGAGACTGATGGAAGCAATGTAGATAAAGAAGTAGGAACTGCCCCTAGTTCTGCCGAAGAGGAGTCAGTACCAGAACCACTAACTAGCAGCCAGAATGAACCATTGAGTTCTAGTGAGGAGAGTCGGTGTATGCATTGCCAGAGTATTAAGCCTTTACCAGTACCAGCTGAATTGAGATTAGCCCAAACAGAAATTGGAGAGGTAGAGGTTAGTAGTGGGATTAGTATTGAAGGGGTGGAGGAAGTGGAAGTAGAGATTGGGGTAGAGGAAGTAGAGGAAGTGGTAGAGATTGAGGTAGTAGAGGAAGTGGAAGTGAAAGTGGAAGAAGAAGAAGTCGAATTAACCAGTCCGATTGATGGGGTGGCTGAAGATGAAAAAGAAGAGGTTGGTTTTGAAAATGATAAGATAAGAGTTGTGGAAAAAGAAGAAGAAGTAATTAGTAAGGAACCGACTCAGACTGAGGAAGAAGTTAGAACTGAAATCTTATCTAGAGTTTATACTGGAATTAGTTCACGACTGGATGTCTTAGAACAAGACTTGATGATGACGCAAGCAAGGACAGCTTCATTTTCATTGGACCAACTAGCCCAGGGTATAGATCACTTACAAATCTCAGCTGTTCAGGAAATCGAGCGAATCCAACAACAAATGCGCCAAGTAGAGGAAGAGACCCTTTTTAAAACCAAGAAGATCATCAGGCAGTTACAGACTGAAGTCCGTGATGTGCAAAGTCGCATAGAAAGAGAAGTCGAATTAAGAGCAGCTCTTTCCCAACGCAAGGCCGACTTAGCTAATGAAAACAAAGAGTTGAAGGAACAAATCAGGCGCTTAAAGCTTGGATCTAATGTTCGGAACTTTCCAGTCAAGGTGTACATGGACAAGAAATGGGAGTCCTGTGTACTCTACCTTGAAGAGGACTATATTCGTATTCAAAACATGAAACTACCCCTAGCTAAGATATACTTCCAAAATCTTAAGAAGAACGAGTTGATCAGAATGAACACTAAGGGCGAAGCCTTATCTTTCAAGTTACTTTTACCAATTGAAGAGGATCTTTATACGGAACAAACAGAATCGTCATCAGATGTGCACTTACCACCGGCTGAAGAGGCCGTTTTAAAACGCGAGTTGGAAAAGGAAATCAAGATCTTATCAGGGATTGAGATGATTTTGATGGTGGCTGCGGATGAAGAGTCAAAGAAAATGGCGATGAAACAGAAGACAGGTACGGAAAAGAAGATTCAAGAGATTCGGCAGGCCTTAGAGCAGGGCAGTCCAGTTGGCCAAGTAGATCCAGGAGTTATTCGCTATAACAACCATACGTTCAAAACCACAACATTTGCTACGTCTATTCAAGTATGGTGCCATGAGTGTAATCGGCCGTTGTATGGAGCAGCCAAACAGGGGCTTATTTGCAAAGGATGCCGGCTTGTTTGTCATCGCGATTGCCACACACTAGTAGAGTACTCCTGTGAGCTGCGCCAAGCAATGGAGAAAGGAACTTCAATCATTCTTATGGCTAAGCATTTGGAGGACAAAGAAAGAATCCGGGCGCTAGTCAGTACTAACCAAAACTAAAGCTTTATTTGAGTAATGTCTACTATCTATTGAGTTATGTTATATTTAGTTGAGTTTAGATTGTGTTAGTTGGATTGTGTTAGTTGGATTGTGTTAGTTGGATTGTGTTAGGTTACTTAGATAGGCTACTTAGATAGATATAATGCGGCCTTGGTCACAGCTTAGTAGATGCCATAACTCAACTCAACTCAACCCAATCCTAACTTAACTCAAGACAATAATGAATTTAGTGTTTATCTGGATTGGGTGTAATTGATAAAATGTCAAGGCTACAAACAAGGGATCACTGTCTAATTCTTACTCACCCAACCCAATTCAACTCAACTCACCACAACCCATCTCACCATAACCTAACCCACCTTAATCCACCTCACTATAACCCACCTCACTATAACCCACCACACCTTAATCCAACTTTATCTAGTACAATTCGGCTCTTGTTGTGGTTGTCTTGTCTAGTAACTCTGTGCCAGGGCAGTAGCCATGTGCTGATTAAAAACTATACCCGGCATGTTGACAACTACTTACTCTTTAGTCGAGTTATTGATACTTTGGTTATCCAGAGTAAGAATGAGTTGGGCCTGGTTCGGGGTGTAGCAACTGGCTGCTTTCCTTTACAAGGAATAAGGTATTATGATGCCCTTGGTAAAATTCATAAGTATGCTAGGTACGAGAACTCTCATCTGTTTGGGTTTCGCTATCCTTTGCGTGAAGGTGATCAGATCTCTTTTTCGATTGAGCGAATTTCACTAACTTCGATCGAACCAGAACCTATCTTTCCCGACGCTGATTCCTTGCGACTGGTTAAAAGAACCCGAGTCTTCCCTTGGTTTTGGCAGGTTCGACAGTTAACTTCTGATTTTCAAAAACCCAATCAGTTCTTTCCCCAGTCTAGGGAGATTAAATGGACGCCATATCTAGAAAACTTACAGGTTCTTAAACTGCCAATATTGGCAGTTGTTTGGCTGTTCAGGAAAGTTCGGGGCATCATTGGCTCGATGTGTGTTTGAATTTTCGAACCAATTGATGCATATTTCGACCTAACATAAGATTGGCTGTTTGATTCTGTAAAGGTATAAAAGCCCGGGTGACTTTCTAAGATATGAGTAAAATAGTAGCATCATTCTCTAAGGTCAAGTTCTTATTCGCTTTAATTCTTCTGGTTGTCTTCTGCGCTAACCTAGCCCAAGCAGCCGACGATAAGCCCGCCGATGACAAGAAGGACGGTAAAGGCGACAAGAAGGGCGACAAGAAGGATGATAAGAAGGACGATAAGAAAGATGATAAGTGTGTTGGTGATGACTGCAACCCCAATAATAAGGATGCAGAGGAGAAGAAGTTGTAAAGACCTAAGTAATAAAGCAGCCACAAGCTATATTTAGTTATGTTGTGTTATCTTTAGTTTAGTTTGATTTGTCCGGCTGATTTGGTAGGTAGTAGTGAGATAACGATTAAAAATCAACTGAATAGTAATTAAATGCCAACTAGGTGGCATTAAGCTGTTTATTGCAGATAGACTAGTCTTACCCCGAGACAGTAAATCCAAGGCCGAGAATAGAAGCACCGGCCGCTGTAAGTTGGGCACTGAGATTAAGCGAAGCTCCATCACCCACTTGAATATCAGAAACGGCCGCAATTGTACCGTCTGTCGATAAACCTACCCGCGTATTAGCAGTAGCTCCCGGAACAAAGAGTCCCATACTCCCGGACATAGCACTCATCAAAGCTTTCGTCTTACTTCTCACTCCAGCTACATCCATCGATACATCGGCATAAACCACTGGCCCGTCCTCTAACTCTCTCTCCATAGACAGACCAACAACACCCGTACTTTGCACCATACCCAAGACACTGCCTCGAGCACAAGTCTTACGGGCAATATAAGTTGAAACCCGACCCATACTAAATCCACTACTTTCCGCCCCTCCTTTCTTCTGCAGGGAAAAGAGATGTTCCATCCCCACTTGGAATGAAGGCAGAATAGAAAGAACTGCACTCCCAGAAAACAAACCTTCCTGGAACGACTCTTTTACTCGGCCTAAAATTCCCGTTACATTCTGGTGAATACCCAACCAGGAAATGTTTTTGAAATTATGACGTGGCCCAAGTAATTTTCCAAACACTCTACTCTGCTCCTGGAATAAGACTTTAGACACAGCAGCTACTCCTTCTGCCTTATCCAATCTAAACTCTGGTGCTAAAACTTTAACTGACATGGCTCCCCAACCCCAGGATCGCACTCCACCGACCTCTAAATACTCCTTCTCCCCAGGCGTTTTCATGTACGTAGCAAACATACCATTATCATCATTACCCGGCATGATTTTCCCTAGTATAGCTCCATTCCCATAGATAGTTGCGGCCAAAGATCGCTGCCAAGTCGCCAAAGTATAGTTGAGATTCAAACCGTGTTCTGAGTTAGAAAGAGAAATAGATCCATTCTTAAAGACTCCCTTGGCCAAATCTAACTTGGTTCCACTAAAGAGGTAATTACTAGTCAAGTGCAACTTACTGCGACTAACTATTTGGTCATAAGTTGGCGAGAATTGTTTCTGGTTTTGATACATATTGGAATTTTAAGAGAATTTGGATCTTTATTTTTTCATGGTAATTAGTGGTTTATTATATCCCCAGCGTACTTTAGTCTTGCTAGGCCTTTCTGGTGGTTCAGACGCCGATATTCTCAAGTCTGGAAACGTGATATTAGATGGTGATTATTTGACATCTGAAAATTCAATAATTGATGGAGAAATCATTGTAACCCGCTTAGATTCAGTTGATTTAGCTAGTAAATTAGCTGCCCGGGCCAACAATACTGTTTATAACAACCAACGGATTATTTCTTTGACATTGGACCGATTTAGTGCCTTGGAACGTATTGGCGAGCGTGGCAAAGAAGCCTTATCTGGAAACAAACCGGCCGTGCGACGTATAGCTCAGAAGGAAGAGATACTAAATTGGAAGCATTCAGTGGAAGGCGAACAGTTTTTGATTTATAGTGATGGTATTTTGTCCAACTACCAATTATCAAAATTATTTCCATGTAAGGTAACTAAAACAAAAACATTACCTGGTAGTAAGATAAGTGTATCTGGAGATTTGGTAGTAGTTCATCGCCAGAGTAATTTATTTGTTTATGGTGGCGGTTTAGATCTGATCGATGGGTTTGTGGAAGACTCATTACGTGACTATTTCATTAGAAATGAGTACATCTGTATTGCTACTAAGGCCCAACAAGGCCGAGTGCATTGGGGGATTTACAATATCTTTAGTAAAGAGATGGTTAAGAGTTTAGAGATTGAGGAAGGGGATAAACTCTATTTATCACAAGGGGCAACGCACTATGCCGTGGCTACGGAAGGGTCTATTATAGTGAAGAGTATGGTGACAGATGAAAGAGTTTATGAAGAGTGCTGTGCACAAGTGGATGCGGATGAGAAGGTAGAAGGTTTCTTTTCAGAAGAGAATAATGTTGTGCTTTTTGTGAAGACTTCTATGATAGCGGCTAAGTTTATTCTTTATAATTTAGATACGGGTGAAATGATCAAATCAAAAGTTTTGCCTAATATTAGCAAGTATTCAGTTGTTTTCCGAGTGGATGAAGTTTGTATTCAGCTGGAAAGACTTACTGGGAAGAAGACCAGCCATTATGCCGAGTTATGGGACTTAACTGGCCAAAAGATCAGCACGGGTTTCTTGGGTGAAGACTTACAAAGTATTCATGTAACAGCTACAACTGTAGTGGCACTAGCTAGTAATAGTGCTAAGATATTTAGAAGATTGCCTGGACGGTTACTGGAGGTCCAAACTCTGAAAGGAGGGTTTGACCAGGTGGCGACCAGTAGTGACACAACTATTTTAAGTGATAATGAGCGGTTATCTTTTATTGGTAAGACAGGTGAAGTAATAGCTCAGATAGCAGCTACAAGTATGTCGCGAATTGAATGCTCGCCCTTTGGTTTATACTTGGCCTTACTTGATCCGGGACAGGTACGTATCCTGGATATGTGCGGTCGGGAAATGTTAGTGACTAATATTGATCCAATGGGTGGATTCTTCTGGCGCAAAGTCTTCCCAGCGATGTCTCGTGATGCTTTAAGTCCCGAGGATATTGCCCGGTTTAAGGAAGAGGATAGTTTACGGCGCAAAGATGCCAAACTGCAGATTATTGAAGAAAATCGCGATCTTATCAAAGAATGGCGCGGCTTTTTACAAAGTATGCAGGCTCTATATACAGCCCATGCAACTCCATGCTAAGGTTTGTTTCTATCTGGCCAACTAGCTCAATCTAAGATGAGACTGTCTTCTAGTTCAATTCAATAAACAAGCGGCCCAAACAACTTTGTCGTTTAATTGCATTAGATTGTGTTAGGTTAAGTTAAGTTATAATTGTGTTAAGTTATAATTGTGTTGGGTTGAGTTAAGTTATGATTGAGTTAAGTTAAGCTATGGTTGTGTTGTGTTAAGTTGTATTAAGCTGATATTGGATTGTTTGTGGACATAAAAGCTACGCATTATCAACTCAATACTAAGCTAAGCAAATCTAAATGGAGTGTTGGGTTTGGATTAAGTTGGTGTTAAGTTGGTAGTGGGTTAAATAAGTGGATCTTAATAAAGATATTGGTTTGGAGTAGTAGAACATACTTGGTAAAAATGAAAGCATTCCAACCCGGAATTCGCCCAATAAGGAAATTACCCAATAAGGAAAAAGTTACTTTCTAAAAACACACTTACAACTAAATAAATTGGGTTGGTATTTAGAGTATTTAGAGGGTACGTGAGAACCCCAATTCCAATTCCAATTACAAAATTAACACAATCTAACCCAATCAATACAACCCACTATAACTTGACCTGATTTAATCCAAGTTTTGATATCTAAAACCGTTTGAAAACGATGGCCCTATTGGAAATCGGAATTTTTTAACACCTTGACTAAATGGGGAAATCATTATTAGCTGATACGCAGCCTCTTATCTCTAATACAGGTAGTGCTACAACAATAGAAATACAAGAGACTCGCCTGCAAAAGAGCTCTCCTAGACAAAAAACTAGCTTCACCGGTATTTGGGATGAATTAGCTGTAGTGGGTTCTAGCCATTATATGATCAATACCTTATTTTTATGTGTAGGTCTAATCGGAGTTACACTATGTGTAGGTGCAATTCTTCTTTTGAATGCCAACAAAGCAAGTGTATCCGATTTAGAGAGTATTCTTACTTGGTCACATTTAAGCCAAATACCCCAATTACTAGGCGGTGCTTTAGCGACTATTTTAACGATCACGGCAATCAGTTGTTTGTGTGCTCCTGGCTATATTTATAACCAGATAGTGAATACTAACCCGAATTTTACCAACTATCGCTTTGCCCATATACTCGTGTTTCTCTTTACTATGATAGTAGACACAATTGTTCTTTTTGTGATTATAGGCGGGCTACTTAGACTGGCTATTTATTGGGCTTATGCAACCGGTTTGGCGATGGTTGTACCTATATTAGCTTTAGCTCTCCTATGGATATCTTATGCTATTCTGTGCTACCAAGTTATTACGCACAATTATGTGAAGAGGACATCTAATAATGATTTTGGCGTGAGTATAGCTGTGCTAAGTGGGCTTGGGTTAGTATTTATATCAAGTTTAGTATGCATACTAGTGGTGAACAATGGTATAATGCTGACTGGCATATTTGCTTAAACTTATCTTATCTAAACCTCTGCTTTAGATCAATAAAGAGCATAGATCGTATTGGTTTGTTTTGTTTTGAGATGGTATAATGTGAGATAAGATATAGTGGTTGAATTAGTGATGGGATGGGGTATAGTTGGGGCGGTAGAAAGGATTGAAACGATCTAGATACAAGTTGTCTTAGGTCGGTTTTTTCTTTTCACCGTATGCAAGTTAGAATCTTTACTTTCACTAATGAACTAACTAAGTCTTTGGAGTTATTAACTCTTGTGGGTAATAATAGTTTACTTCGACGTGAATTACTAGCTAACGTATCTTTACATCGTATACATACTAGTAAGTGCTTGCTTATTCTTAGAGGCGGCATGAAAAAACCGTCTTCCGCTAATTGGCCTGTTTGTGTTACAATGATTTTGGGAGTTTATGCGGCCTTTACCGATTTAATTGATCCTAATGTCATAAGAGGTCTACTGAGGCCTTTTCCATTAGCACGTGGCACTAGAATTCTTGTGCTTTTGGTGGCTTTGAATGTGGCTAAAACACACTCACAGGTGGTGAATTGTGTTGATATTATTGAAGAGTTCATGCCTACTCTATTTAAAGGCGATCAAGAGATAGACTATCTTGTTTTAAATATTATGGGTAATTTAGCTAAACGTGATGGCCTCTCATCTCTTTATATTGATTTACTACAACAATCTTTACCACCATCTCCTTCTTTAGTTTTGGTTCCTAAACTGGTTCTTTTAGCTGCTTATACTTCTTTGTCCTACCAAGTACCTCTTGAAGCAATAACTAGTACGCCTATTACTCTACGTCTTCGTATTCTGGATGCAATAGCTATAGCCGGTGTTCATTGTACCACTGAGCGTCTACTAGAAATAGTCCCTCTTAACAACCAAGAGTTTGCTACTATTTTCAAGCAGTACCTCATTCGCGAAGAATTCTCAGCACCAGAACCACCCCAAAACCTACCTTTAGTCAAACTCTACCATGAAGAACCTCCCCTCCAAAGAATCACCCAAATCTTATCTCAAAACCTTCCACCCGCCGAAACTGTTGCCATCATCCACAAGCTCATCTTCCAGCACTAACCCAACACCAACGCCATCCAATGTTAACAGTCATAATAAACACACTTTTCACAACTATCTCAATACAAACCCATTACTATCTCAATACTATCTCCATAGAACAACTAACTCAATACCAACCCAACCCTCTATCTAACCAACCCAACTCAATCCTAACTCAACTCTACAAAACACAACTCAATACTATCAGTACATATCAAAGCAGCTCATTTTATTTTTATGGATCTAGAACAGAACACTACTGCTTTCCCTCATATTATAGAAGCTTTATCCAAAGAACTTCCCGAAACTCTTCATAAAACCACCGAAATTGAAATTCGTTTAGGATCAATTTTAGATAAGCCGACCGGACAACGACTTAGTATTGTTATTACTCATCCATGCCTTATTCGCCGGGCTGATACTCTGCGTTTTCAAGCTTCTATTGAAGAGAAAGACCACCAAATTCTCAATCAGTATTTACAAGAGCATTTACCAAAACCAGAAACAAAAAAGATCCTTGATACGTTAATGCGCGGATTCCGCCGTTCAGAAACAGTCGAGATAAACGGCCAAAAGATCAAAAGCAAATCAATTCTAATCCAGAAAAGGAAAATGAAAAACATTGATATCTTTTGTCCCAATACTCGTTATGATCTTCGGATTGGTATTAGTGAGGAAATAATTAAAGAAGATACCAATACTTCTCCTACTGTTTACGCCACTCGTGAAAAGCACCGTACTGTTTACACTACTCCTTCCTATGTTCTTGATCTAACTACCGTCCTAGCCAGCTCAGCCAATTCCAACCAGCCGACAGAAAAGACCTTTGAAGCCGAGCTAGAAGCTAATAACAGTACGTATACTAAGCAAGGTTTCATTCAAATCATTATTAACTTTATGCACACCCTACAGCAAATCTTCCCTACACATCCCAACCATCCTAACAACCCCAATCAATCATAACTCACTACTAACTCACTACTAACTCAGTACTAAACTTCACCTAATATCTATCTGTTTTATCTCCTAACCCAATACTAATATCATCCTAAGCCAATACTAACCCAAATAAACGTAATATCCAATTAGACTCGTCTTTCATTACTACTGGCCATCTCAATTAGATATCACTAACGATTCTAATACCAACTCAACATCAACTCAACCCAATCTAACTCAACACAACCCCATCTTAACCTAATTAAACACTAATTTAGATAGAATTTAAATAGAAACCATCCTTGGCCTTATCTCAAGTCAAACATGTGACTGAAGCAAATAGAACTGGAACAAACGAGCCTGTTTATTTTTAGCGATGTCCCAAGAGTACGTAGTGAATGTTATTGCCCATGTAGACCATGGAAAGACTACTTTTATGGACTCTGTCCTAGCTGAATCTGGCCGGATAGCTAAATCCTCAGTAGGTGATGCGCGCATACTAGATTCACGAAAAGATGAACTAGAAAGAGGAATGACCATGAAAATCTCGCCAGTAACTATATCTGGTCCGCCAAAGATCACCTTTTTAGATACACCAGGACATCTTGAGTTTGGATCTTTAGCTGAGTCTTCTTTCATTATTGCTGATACTTCCCTCGTAATTGTAGATATCTCAGCTGGAGCAACTGATCGCACAAAGTTTCTAGTGGAAACTGCTAAAAAGGCCGGCACTCGAGTTATTCTACTGATCAATAAGATAGACGCTTTATTCAAACGAGGTGTACCACAAGATGAGGCCGAATACTTAGCCGAAATGGTTCTGCAGAGTTTAGAAGCCGAACAAGCCTGGGAGAACGGTGATGTTCTACTGGGCAGTGCTCGTGATGGCTGGGGTATTTCTATCCATACTAACCCCACCCAATTACTAGGCCGGCCTACTAAACATACCCTATCCCTTAATAAGGCTTTAGCCCTTATCAAAGCAGTTTATAGTGCAGATAGTGCCGGTCTAAATACCTTATCCACTCGACTGGGCCTAGTTGCTCGTCCTGGACGTAAAGCTACTTTTACTGCTCGTGATGTACTTAGTACAGCCTTTGGTCTCTTCCCAGCCGTTCAAGGTCTAATTACTAGTCAAGCTAGTACTTGGGCAGCTGCTAATTGTCCTCCAGAAGTTCTAGGTGTTATTTGTGCTAATACACTAGTGGGTGAAACTCTTACTGCTGTAACCCGACTTAGTCCCCATGCCACTATCACTCCCGGTATGTCTGTTAAACTCATTGAAGCCACTCCTAATCCAACTACCCCAACTACTCCAACTAATCCCTCCTCAATACTACCCAGTACACCCGGGACCATTCAGCAAATCATTCTCTTTGAAGAGGCTCTGCCTTCTCCAGCTACCCCAACTGATACTAGCCTAATTTACTCGGGTCTAGTTGGAATTCAAGGTCTGCCCTGTAAGAAAAGAGGTTTACTTGTGACTGAATGTTCGCCGGCTGTTTTACAATTTGCGGCAGCCCTTCCATGGCCCGTTTTCAATCCCATCTTTGTTGATATTATTGTAACAACCCCGGAATCTTTCCCAGAAGTTTTCCGACGGATTGGACTCCTATCAAGATGCGATCCAGGTTTATTTTGTGCTATCAATCGAGACCAAGAAATAGTTGTTAAAAGTGATGGCAGTTTGCAAATAGATAAGATCAAAACCGATCTAGAAGGATTAGAATACTCCGTTCGTGAATCTTCCGGCATTCATTTAGAAACACTCGAATACGCCACCGGTACTCTAGCCCATAACAATCTCTACTACCCCGCCACTATCCAAGGTCTAGCCAGTCGTTCTACAACCACTACTCAACCCCTCTGCACTACCCACTACGATCCCGCCGTCCCTCCAGAACTCCGAGCAGCCGCTAGTGCCCTTCTTAAAAGAGGCCCCTACTTAGCCTGTCCTATCGGCTTAGTTAAACTTACTATCTCGGCTCCTCTCCCCTCTCCCCCTTCTCCTCCCACTACACTACAAACTATCTTCCTCAGCGGCCAACCCCGACTTCTCACCAACCATACCCACCTCCTCGTTCGCACTCTTTCTACACAAGCCAAATCGGTTCTTACAGCCGTCTCCCAAACTCCAGCTTCAATTACAGCCACTGATTCCGAACCACCCGGTCTCCGCTTCCAAATCCGTACCCCTGTCCATGAATTACGCCATCTTGCCGTCCTAATTCGCGACCATACCAAAGCCGCAGCCGATCTCTACACCCACCCGGAAGTATTCTATGCCCTTTTAGACTCCCCAACTTATGAAGCACAATTAGTGCATCAGATAAGATTAGAAAATGGACTTCATGAACCAGATAAAGTGGCCTAAGCTTAAAATTTTAACGCAGATGGCACGTATTGCTAAGAGTGGTAAGCAAAACCCCGTTAGAGATTGGCCGCAAAACAGAATAGGTAAACGTGAAAGACCAGAAGATACAGCTAATCTTATCAAAATTGGTGAATCTTCACATCCAGTTAAAAATACTGATTTATTAGTCATTAGATTAAATCAAGCTGTAGTTCCATACTTCTCAGCTGGTATCTATGCAGGGGGTAGTCGACGTATTGCTAGTGTTCATGAAGTCTTTGGTAAATTTAATGATGATGTCTACTGCAGTATTAGACTGGAGAATGGCCAGTCGCCTAGTGATTTTCCAGTTGGTTCTGAATTTAGAGCTGATAAGTTTAAGTGTTTGACTTTTGATAGGGTTAAAGGTGCTGGACAAGTTTCTGGCGTAAGTGTTGGTACGAATAAGAATGTGCCTAAGCCTGAGATTAATAGACAACGTAGTTCTAAGTATCGTACTAATGTTCAGAATGAGCGAATTAGGAAGTATGCTGAAGGAAAAGTACGTGAGAACAACCGAATAGCCAGAACGCCAGAAGGTAAACGAGATAACTACCGTAGAACAGTAGAGAAACGTGGGGCTTTTGTTCAAATGAACAAGAGAGTTAAGTTCACTGATTAATGCGAATAAATTCATTATGACGTCATTATAGTTTAGTTTAGTTTGATATAGTTTGTTTAGTGATATTGTTAGTAGTAGTGATATTGTTAGTAGTAGTGGTATACCAACCCAATACTAATACTAACTGGTGATTCTAATCCTAATACGTTATAATTGTTTGCCAAGTCAACTCAACTCAACTTAACTCAACTTAACTCAACTTAACTCAACTAAATACTGATCCAACCTAATACTAACTCAACTCAACTTAACTCAATCTAATTTATTCGTAGCTAACTCAGATGACATGGATTGGATTGGATTCGTCATAGGATGGCATTCTTTCGTGTATAGTGAGAAGATCAGTTGTTTGTCTATCTGCGACATACAAATAAACGTGATCATCAACCCAGACCTTGCTCTCGAGCCACTTGTTATTAGCTGCCTCTGACGCCTGAGCACTTGAAGCGATAAAGCCAATGCCAGATCGAGGAACACGGATAAGACGGTAGATATTATCAATTCTGATTGGGCGTTGACAGTAAGGGCATTTTGGCATCTGTGAATAATTAGTGAACGCGCATCTATTGCATTGACGGTGCCTACACGTGAAGTAACAGAGCGTTGTCACGGTGCTGCTCTCTGACTCGGCTGGGCATTGTGGTTTTGCAATACACAACAGGCCATTCCAGGCACTTCTTGGTTTGCGCACGGTTAGTATTGGGTCGTAGGAGCAGCATATATCGCACATATTATCATCTTCCTCATCTTCCTCATCGTGCTCTTTGTTTTCATTGTTTGTCTTAAGCTCACGTTCAATATGGTGGAAGGTTGCCTTAGGATTGATGTGCTGATTAGTAAGCTCACTAAGCTTGTCTACATTCTCAGCAAGCCTCTCTAACACGGTAGATAATGTCACAATGGTAATAGATTCTGGACATGGAACTTCTGACATGAGAACATGGCGATATGACCGGCTTAACAGTTCAATAAATGAGTTCTTTGAATTTCCTTTGGATAGTTGAATGCTATTGAGTGTTGGTAAGTCGCGGAATAGGTAGTTGCGCGAAACTATTAATTTCCGTTCTTCTTTTGATGCCTTAACATTTAGCAGTTGCAATTTGGCCACGTTCTCAAATCGACAGGCCATCCAAGTGATAATATCCACTAAGGTGGATTCGGTTAGCATGTGCTGCTCGTGGAATTTTAGGGACAACTCCGTGATATACGAATTTTTGACCGGGGTTTGTGCTTCGGTTGGATTTTGACTTTGGTCCTGAGTTTGACAATGGTTTATATCTGCTTTTAAGGCCTCAATCGTGATGCCATAAAGTTGCACTAACTTATCACCCGCCACAGTCAACGTATTGGCAAGATATTCTTCAAATGAAATAAGAACCGGAATCTGAACGCCGTGATCGCGAATCTCGGACAAAGCTCGGCTCTGTGCACTAAAATCAACACAACCTAGCTGCAAAACCAGTTTGTCTAGATGAAGACCTTCCACCGATTCGTTGTCTTTCCTGTATTCTTTCACGTATTTGAACAATGAGAAGCCTTTGATTTTGTCTCGCTGATCGTATCGCTTGATCTCATTCAGTTTAGTCAAATCATTGAGCACTAACCTTGTGACCTTTTCCCCTAGTGCTTGGGAAAGAAGCTGGGCGATAGCCAGATTCTTAAATGCCTGGTTTAAAATATGCACCTCATTTAGCTTGACAATATCATAACACCCAAAGATCCTATAAATAATGGCAATGTCAACTTTGTCTAATATCAAAATATCAAGATCAAGAGTGTACCGGCGAAATTTGGCGGCTTTTGCTTGCAGAGCGACTAGATCAAACTTGCTCGTGGTTCTTCTTCCATCACGAATCTTCGAAATGCATAGCTTTTGGCCTCTGATACTTCCCAAATTGTTAAGGAACAACATGCACAGATAAACTTGTCCTTTGTACGGACTTTGTTTGCCAGTGATGTTAAGGGTTTTGTAGATTAAGTTCTGGCAGAAGCAGTAATAATTAGAACCATTGTACTTATCAAGTAGATCTTTTAACTTGGGACAGCTAAATTGAATGTTAACTGTCTGCGGAAGTGACCAGGCAGGCTTGTTGGTTTTATCGCCACAACACACAATCATTTCGTCCTTAGCTTCCTTTAGCACTGACTCTGGCACGGCATTGATAGAATGAAGTAGGGCTATAGTTGCTTGCAGGTCTGTTCGGCCCGGATTATAATGGATTTTAACAGCGTTAGTTACGATGCCATAGTTGACCATGACTTCTGGCGTGTAGATGCCCTTAGAGTACTCGCAGGGACCGCATGCCCTATAAGTGGGCACCTTGAAAACAACCTCATCTACCTCAATTCGAGTGCTAATTGGGTTCGTTGGCAGATCTTGAAGGAATGCATAGAATTTACGAATAGAATCTGAGTTGATTAGGAGACCGGAAATAGCGTGAACTCGAATGTAGGATACGTTGAATCTGATCAGATGCGGAAGAGAAGTCCAAGGTATATTTATAGTCAGATTTGGGTGCTGGTTAATAGCATGGTCAAGACCAGTTAGGGTTACTTGGGGATCTGCGTCCAGGAATATAATCATCCCGCACTTGGCAGTTGATTTTTGGAGGGAAGAAAGGTTAATGTCAACTGTTCTGGGCAGAGACTTAAAAGCGATAGTGTAATTATCTACTAGGGTAAGCCTGTCAAGATACGGAGCGTTGTTGAACTCTATGCCTGTTAGGGTGACTTTTACAATCGGCCGCAACAAGACAAAAGCGCTGTTTATCGGCAATAGCTTACTAAGATAACTATACATTGAAAAAGTGACACAACACACTGATTCGTACATAGCATGCCTGACGGTGTTCTGTGCTTCGGCTGTATAATCCGGTAGATGTGCCGGATCAATTTGTGTTTTATCTTTTAGAAATTGAGATGATTCTATCATCAGTATCTCGCAATCAATCATGTTAATAACTCGTGATAGAATTCTCATGCGGATCTTGTGGTGATTTGAATCCCACAAATCGTATTCCACCTTAGCCCGTGGAACCTGAATACGGGCAATATTTCTTAATGCATTCAACGTATCCATGGCATCCATAGCATCGTAATACTTACACAATCTAAAATCGATGTAAGTGCCTGGACACTTTACCGTGTATTTAGGAGTATTTTGGATTCCATGAGGCATATCGGCACGATCCCCGGATAAAGTTGGAACATAGCGTTTAATCTCCAATGGCTCCCAGTACCGATCAATAATGTCAAATCCAGCCGATTTCAAAGTCTTATGTACCTCGCTAGAAGATGGCAAAGCTGCTGGAACAGATTCCGATCCAAATAAAGCTCCCCCAGCTCGACGATTTATCAATGATCTATTGATTCCATTGACACCGTTCATTAAAATCAGTAAGAAGCTCAGGCCAACAACCCAATGCCGAATCGCTCTATCCCGGCCGATCTTAAGTAATCTAACGACAATCATTTCTGAATTAAGCATAATCATAAAAATCGGTAAATTTCCTACAATATATTACTCAAAAAGGAAATGTTAGCAAAACGCATCAAAATTATATCTATCTGGTGTGTATGAGGATTCCCTACACTCTTTAATTAGCGGGTAGTTAGGTTGGTATTGGTATTGGATTGGATTGAGTTGAGGTGAGGTGAGTTGAGTTGAGGTGAGGTGAGTTGGGTTGGATTGGATTGGGTTGGATTGGAGATAGATAGATAGATAGAAAGACGTGTGTCTGCCTGAGGAATCTAAGAGGAGCGTCCAATGCACTACATCTTCTTGTCAACCGTGGTGCCCAATACTACCCCACTACATGAATAAAGAACAGAAAGTTCAACATGTCCTACTGGATTAGTATTGAGTTAGTATTAGAAGAGGGCTTTTCTCTCATTGGCATAACACTATCATTAGATTAGCGAATGAATTAAGTCAGTGTTTAGTTAGTATTAGGTTAGTATAACCATTCAAAAACTAACCCAGTACTAATAATCAATAAATTGAACCCAATACTAACCCAATAAGTATTTGAGTTACCGATAATTATGACGTATTAGGATAAAGATAGCACACGGGATAATTACGGTACTCCACAATAATTATGACGAGGTATGGTAAAGACAGTAAGATGTAATAGAGATAGTAAGACGTAATAGAGATAGTAAGATGGAATAGAGATAGTAAACGAGAGTAGAGACTACTTATACTTTTTTATTCTCGATCTTGCCCTTTGGGATGCAAATGAAGACAGTGCTAGCATTTGCTATGGGAATAATGTTCCATCATGGGGCTATTAGTGGTGCTGAGGAGCGGCTGGTAAAGATTGGGGCTGTTTTGTGTTTTATTTGGATTCTTCATGATACAATGGGGTATTTGCCAGTAAGAAAGTTTATCTTAGGTGTAACAGCGAATAATCAGAGCTTCTTTAGTGGAATGCTACTCTTCTTAGGATGTTTATGTGGGTTAGAGACTGTTCTTATGTGTATTTTGTTTCCACTAGTACCAGAAAGAGTATCTTGGGGTTTACAACAGATAGGCGGAGTTTTAGTAGCTGTTTCTTTGGTTTTGATGATTTCATCTTTGTGGGTCTTATCTAGTGCTGATGTTTCATTGTGTGTGTTTATTGATCAGGGGGTTTATGCTTATATTAGGCATCCTTACTATTTAGGAGTAGGTTTGGCCTTTGTAGGATGTTCACTTTATCTGTGCAATGTTGCTTCGGTGGTGATTTCATTTTGGGTGTTACGAGAGAGAGTTGCGGAATTCATTCTAGCTGAAGAGGAATACTTGTTGGAGAAGCATAGGAGTTATGAGCAGTACAAAAAGCGAATCTTCTCTGGGATTCCAATTGGTTGGTTGCGAAGTAAAAGCTTCCCAGACGTACCGATGGAGAAATCACTTGAGGGATGTTCAGTAGATAGTAATAAATGAGCTTATGGTATTGAGTTGAGTTAGTATTGGGTTGAGTTAGTATTGGGTTGAGTTGGGTTGGTTTGTGATTTAGGTTGAGTTAGTATTAAGATAAGTTGAGTTATTTTGTGATTTAGGTTAGTATTGGGTTAGTATTGGGTCGGTGGTGAGTGTGCTGGTTGCTTTGGGCTAGATTGAAGTGTCGTTTGGTAGGTACTATCCCTAATCTGGATGCATTAATTGGAGGCAATAATAGTCATATAGTAATTAAAGGATAAGGTATAAATATCCTGAAGGTGTATGTTGTATGCGAGGATTTAAGGGAGTATTTGCCATTGGAGTGCTTGGTTATGCTGTGCTGATTAAATGTGCTAATGATGATAAGACTGTTGCGACTGAAATTGCCTTAATGGGTGGAGAAGAACAGGAGGCTTTGGTAAGTAAGCCGGTGGAAGAAGTTGTGGCTGAGATAGATAATGATGTGTCGTTTGAGGATGAAGGGCCTATGACCGAGGTGGGTGAGGTAGTTGAGACGGACGAGCTGGATATGGAAATGTGTTTTAATCCAATTGTTAGTTTGAGCGCTTTGGAAATCATTCAAGAGATGGATGAAGAGCTGGCTTGGGATGTTTCTAGTAGTGATGATGTCTACTCAAGTGATAGCAGTGAGTATTCAGACTTATTGGAAAATGATAAAGATGAGTCTGAAGATAACAATACTAAAATCCTAGTTTTGCCCAACCAAAATATTGAAAAGCAGCCGGAAATGGATCTTTCTTTATGCACTAAGCCGGTTGAAGTGTCAGTATAAAGTACTGGGGAGAAGCCAGAACAAATCACTGGATTGTAAGAAGTGATGGTATAAATGAATAAAATGTATCTGCTAGTTACTGTCTGAATTCAATATGACCAAAAAGGTAAGTTAGGACCGCCTTTCTAAACTAATGTCCTAAAAAGGAAAAATATGCATGTTTTAGTGACATCAATGAAATTAACATGACAAAAAAGGAAACTCGTCCTAAAATGGAAATTATGACGTGTATATAAGATGTTGATTTAGAATAATTAACCTACATGACAAGATTATCCCATCAGTCCAGTATTTGGCGTATGCTAGCCGGGCTTTGGCTAATTGTGCTGCTCATTCAATGGAGTAGATGCAGTGGCGTTGACCGGCCATTGCGAAAACGACCGTCCTTTACCTCACAACCGAACTTAGCTACAATATCAGAGGCAGGCGAAGATGACCAGCCACCCTCTCCTCCTAAGACATCTCCTCCGCATAGTAGTGATGATGACGAACTAAATCACACTCGGTATGCCCCAACTCCACCGGCCACGATGCAACCCTTTTCTAGCTTTCTCGATCCAACAAGTACTCGCCAACCTCGCAGTAGCAGTAGTAGCCCTAATAGACCGCGCCCTAACTTGTCTCTAGCTGGTAGCGAAGTGCCTTTGCGGCCTTTAAAGCGCGTGTCCAGACATGACTCTAGACGGTACACCCAAGAAGTATCAGCTAATGATGTAATTTACTGTAACGTTGGGCCTTCTTCAAGTAATGAAGCGTCAACAAGTTATGCATCTGATTGGCAGCCCATAAGTTCGGGCCAAAGTAGTCGTCCGACCAGTGCGCAAAAGTCCAATGTTGCCTCCGGCACTGCATTAGGTATTCTGGATGAATTAGAGCAAAGACTTGATGCAGAACTTAAGAGAACCAAGAAAGTTGTTACGAAATATGCCCAGCCAGTTCCTTGCGGCTCAGAACCAGTTGAAGATTCAGCCAGTCTTAGCAGTAACTCGTCTCCTCCAGATGACAACGCGGGCTATGAAGTACCAAATAGTGCAATCCAACACACAACCCACCCGGCACGCCCAAGACACGCTCTCCCGACACCACCCCAGTCACCACCAATTACACCACCAATTACACCACCTTCCGCCCAATACGTCCCAGATGAGAATCAGTACGAAACAATTGACGGGTATTCTAGAAGACACCAATCTCACCGGCTTATAACTATGGAGGATATTTCTAACTCAGATGTCGTGCATGAGCGTCCGGATCAAAACTCTGAGCCTCTTTTAGACCAGCTAGCCGCTCTAGGATATCCCTGGGCTACTTCTACTAGATCTATTCTTAATGCCCACGAGCATGAGATTGCTATGGGCCAAACTCAAACTGAAGGCTTTAAGCAACAACTGAGTGAGGGCCTCTTGAGCCATCTGGAGAGGGAATTGAAAAGCTTGCAAGACCAATATCAGGCCATTAGCCTAACGCAGATCAAGGATAGAGCTAATCTGTTCGTGGGCCATGAAACCTTTCCTAGAGAAAAGTTCGCTGATCTGTTCCTTGGGACCTCAAAGCGTACATCAGTGCTGAATGGGTTAAGAATGATTGTGGCACTCCACCCGCAGTCTAATATGCAGTGTTATTCGGTGCTTTCCCATCTAAATGCCGAATCGGTTATGAATATTCTTACAATACATTGTGTTTTGTGTAATGGACAGGACCTCGAGCTTAATGATATTCAGGCGGCGGGAGAGACTGGATTCCGCAACAATCTAATTATGGGCATCCAGAAGATGAGTATCGCCGAAAAACTTAAGCTGGCCAGATATTTTGAAGGTACATTTGCCTCGGCTGCTTTCCTAAATGGAACTTTCCCCGAAATCGCCAAGACCAAAAGACGAATCAAAGATACGCAATCTTATCTTAACAAACACACCTTTGTCAAAACCCGAGGGTATCGTCCTTTACTACAGGAAAGCAAAGCACTTTATGCTCAATTCCACCCTCTGAATATTGATATGTACTGGGATAATTTCACATGCACCTATAACAACGAAAACAACTGCTACCATGCCTATCACTTGCAAATGACAATGTGTGTTCGTGATAGTTTGCTAAGCAACTACCAGCCGCTTGATTTGGACTCAGTTATTTCGCTATGCAACACTCACAAGGAGCTAGCTATCGCTACTTTAGGCCGGCGGGACTGTGACATTGCGATAAGTGACTTGACTAAGTACTTTGTTAATCCGCCAATTAAGCTTAACCTATGGTTCAGTCCAAGTATTTCAAGGACTCGGCAGTTAGAATTTCAAACACAGCTAGCCAATACATTGGATGATAGGACCAAAACCAATCCTTGGGTCAATATTCTTTCTTTGGGCTCGGTTGGTATTATACTTCCTTTTGTCTTTACCATCATTTACTTAATCCCGGACTCAATTATGTTTATTATTCCGGCGGCCGTTGTTATCGTTGCGTTCATTCGCATGGGTCTTTTGTGTCTAGTTTACAATCGCAAGAAACACCGGGAGTACTTTTTACTGGTACCTCCGGCAATTGCCTTGATTGGTCTTCTTTACTTGATATTCATTTTAGGAATTTCATCAGATCTAGCCGCTATTCCAGAGGTTGCCTGTTCTAAACAGCTATTTTTGGCCCTCTTTTCTATTACGACCTTTACAATGCTAGTTGTCTTTACAATCATAGTCTCTTTCAAAAACCAGCTGTTGAATGCCGTAAATATGCGCTTTTGGATTAGACTGCTTTTGTACAGTATGGCCATCGTCTCTGCCGCAATTATACCGATCTTAGTTGTCTTTAACTTGCATTTAGATGCAGCTATTTGTCTTCGAGCTAATGTACTACTTTCTGCGGCCATGTTCTTCTTCTTGGGCGTGTTGCTTGAAGATGAGAATAGTTCAATTGTAGCACTGAGTAAGCAGCGTAAGAAAAGACTGCCGTTGCTTATTGTAGCAGCCACTCTCATCATGGTCTTCTTTATCTTAACATTAGTGCTGATAAACACCTGCAATCTAGATGCCGAAAACATTCGTGAAGTTCTTAAACCCAATAACCACTCAATAGTCAAGCCTTTCTTTGGGTTGGCCACAGGCACTTCTAATCCCGTCGGCAGCCAGGCCAGTGGTGCGGCTGGAGTTGTTAGTCCTATGCTCTAGAATAGGAATTCACCCTTTATGCCCTCCTGGCTATCTAGTCTAATAACTATCTCATTAACTAACTCAATCCATCATAATAATCTAATAAACGGACTGGCTTGTAATATTCAATGTCTTTATCATTGTACTTATCTAAATACTAACCTAATCCTATCTCAATTCAATTCTAAAATAAACTCATAGTCTTCATTTTCAGAAACCAAACACTGGCAATTCATTTTGTGTTTTAGTAATTGATAAACTAGTAGATCTTGATATGGTGGTGGTATTTATTTGGAGTAGGTGAAAATAGAGATATGCAGAGGCAGCTAAAGAAGATAGTGTCTTGGATGTTATGTATCGGAACTGCGTATTGTGGTGAGTCAGTAAGCCAAGCCCAGAAGGATATGATGCAAATAACAAGCATTCGACCATACTCTTCAGTCATCAGCCCCGCTGAGTGTTCTAGTTCAGCTCAGAATGCCACCGAAGAAAGTAGTAATTCATATAGTCAGACGCCTGATAAGTCAACGTGCGCGGAGGAACCCGAGCTAGGAGATCATCTGAAGAAAACAAAGCTATGGTCTACATCACAAACAGACGGTTCCTATCATTATTATTTCAAGAGTTCGGAGCTTGTCTGGTTCTGGGTTTATTTGAAGCCCGATGTGATTACTTTCAACATAAAGAAGTGTCAAAGTTGCAACAGCAGAATCTACCATATTACTCGCGAAATTCAGCCAAATGACAATTTCACTCCACAGCCCAGTTATATATACCGAATTTGGATAAATTCTGTATGTTCACAACATAGGGCTGCTAGCATCACAGAAATTATCACTGCCACGTTTCCATCCGATAAGTTTAATAACGGCCATATCAAAATGATCATCCAATGGTGTTATGCCACCAGTATCCCACCTCCTGAAGATACAAAGTCTCTTCTAGCTAAAGCTAAGGTTAGAAACAATGCCTCCTTTTTACTTCTAGTCAACCCAACAGAGATGTTTTTGAGAGTAACGAAACCGCATCCTTCCGGACCGGAGGAGAGTTTAGATAATTGTATTGGTTACAAAACACTTGTAAATCATATTAAGTCCTGGTTTAAAGGAATATACGTGTTGATGTTTAACGATGAATCAAAGACAAGCAGGGATGCGCTGAAAGATCCACGTTCGCGTGGGTTGTTTTACTATCTCTTACATCCCGAGCTTGATACATATGCCATTGTATGCTTCACTGCGCGCAAGTATGTTACGCTCGGCCAAATTCTGCCGAGGCTAACCAACATGTACGTAGACTTTAGTATCATTCCAAACATGTTACAAAGACTTGTTATTTGGAGTCCACTTAATAACAAATTCCAAGTTGATTTGACTATATGCCCGGTTCTTGCCAAAGAAGTGGAAATCAACCATGGGAAATGGCTTAGGATTGCGGCTTGCCTGATGAAAAAGCCATTGGAAAATAACGACCCCACAATTAGCAGTACTCTTACTATTACACTATCCACCTATCAAAGCTTCGATCCAAAAACACTAACGATCAAAATTGAGCCAGGTCGTTATATATTTAATTGTTGTACCCAATTATCGGCCCGGTCTACTTCTCCAACCCCTGAGCTGCAAGCTTGGGTAGCAAATAGACTAATAGAGATAATCATTAAATCGAACCAAAGCACTTATAAGAATTGGGATGTCCAGATTGATAATCAAAGCCAGCTCTCTCAGCCCGCTTTTGTCGAGCTACTAAGACGTATTCACGTATCAAGTCCAAATGGCATTAACCAAACCCCAATCACATCACGACCAAATCACCGGATACAGAATGCCCACAGAACTAAACTTAACCCAATGCCATACTCCAAATCCGGCAGAAGATGCCGACCAACCGCCCAAAACAATATACCGTCTAGTACAGCCCCATGAGTTATATCTGTGCCCATCAGCAAATATCAACTCAGCTCAGTTTTAAGCTCCGAATTCCGTGTTGCTTGAAAGGTCACAATACCCCACGGCCTAGCTATTATCTCCGGCACCTTCCAAACGCCCCACCATCCGTTAATCTTCCCACTACTTCTAAACTGCCAGACCACTTCCATAGCTATACCCCACCACCACCGATGCGGACTCCAAGCCAGCCATCAGCCAGAAGTGATTGGGTAATTACAAGGAAAGAAGCCGTAAAGAATACCCTCTGATTTCAATAAACAACGAGATTCCGAGTAGCAATAGTAGATATCAAATTAAACCATAACTTTATCAAAACCAACCAATCAAATATTCATTCCAAACCATAAACACCTTCAGCCCAATTAATCGCAACTCGAAACACAATGCTGTTTGAGAATGTTTGCTCAGCCATAAAAGCCTGCGACCTGTTTAGAGTATGTTACGTGGTAAAAACATCCTTCAAAAGCTAGCTTGCAGTGTTCTGCTCGCCCAATCAATAGCAACCGCCGCCAAAACCAGCCGCAGTCTTAAAGAGGCCGAGCTAGCCGAAAAAGCCGGATTTATTGTCTTTGCCGCCCCAGTTGTCTGGGATAGTTTAACCTTCCTCACCTACACCCAGAACAAAACACCACACACCATGGTTCGCCAAGTCAAGCCAATCATCGCCGAAAACATCAAAACACTCAAAGCTATTATTAATGAGTCCGATACCTTCTCCACCAAACTCGACGATCTTCTATACAAGCTTTCCAAAGAATACGATAAGGCCACCCCTGAAAAGAACAAGATCTTCCTTGAAGATTCATCCGACCAAGCCATCCATAGCCAAGCCAAAGAAATCAAAACTTTCCAAGCCCATCTCAAGCAAGAATTCACCAACAGCTCATACCTTCTTCTCCAGGAGTACATCAAGAAACTACTGAACGTCACCAGTAAGGAGCAAGAATTAATCTGGAGCAAGTACGAAAATGTTCTGGCCCAAGTCGCCGATGCCATGCAACATGCCGAATCCGTACCTAATGCACTTGAGTCCGCCAAGAAAGAGTTCTTTATTCAGATTCAGAAGATTCTATTACGCACCGATGTGAACATCAAAGATTTCTACCTAGAAAGAGCCCGATTTAATCTCGGCGGAGCTATGTACACTCCAGGCCTGCTCGCCCAAATCACCGCCCAACTTACTGATCAAGACAAAGACTCCTTCGCCCACAAACTCACTAATTCTCTCCTCGCCCCGATTTTTGCCCTCAAAACCAAACTCACCTCACTTTCCAACGAAGAAATCAAAAGCGAAATCATCAAGTTCATCCAAGCCGCCGCCGGCACTCTCCAAGTCTACCCTCTTAAAGAATCCATTGATACTGCCTACAACTTGCGCTCAGAATCAATCTGTCGCTACACTAAAACCTCGCCGCATAAGAAAGAGATCAGCCAAAGAATAGATGATATCCAAACAAAAAACATCCAAAGAATGCTTCTAGTCCTCCAAACCGCATCATCATCACTATTCAAGAACTTTATTATGCTGGACTCTAAAACCGCCGCCACCTATACCCAACTTATCGCCAGCGGCGGCAACGATGAAAAGAAGAAGAAAGAGATCAGTACTCAATTTATTCTTTTATAACCTATCTCGGACTCTTCTTCTTACTCTTCCCCTTCTTCAAACCATCATCGGATCCTTTCCCCAAATCAATAACATTCTTATCTTTCGTTTTGCTTTTTATCTTATCACCACTACCACTACTACCACTACCACTAACACTACCACTACCAGCACTACCTTCCAAACTCAAACCCATATCATTATTAGATTTGCTTTTACTTTTGTTTTTAGATAGTGATTTCTTATCAAGTGAACTATTAGACTGACTGGCAGCCGATGCACTGCCTGATTTAGCCGGTCTAGCTACTAAACGGCCATTATACCGTTGTGGGGCAACATAAAAAGTAACTGAACATGGATCATCGGCCAAAACACATTCAGAAAGATAATGACTCTGATCACCACAAAAACTACATGATTTTTGAACTAATGCACTAGCTGCCCAAACGGATACATATCTCCGATACCCAGGACAATCGGGTAAAGTATGTGTCTTACTATTACAGCCACGGCAAGTGGGAATATAAAACCGTTGCGAACAGACCATCTCCGGATGACCAGCCGCACTACAAATACGACAAACACGTAAAGGACACCTTTGCCGGCGATGATCGCCTTGACCACAAATACTACATAGGAAGGTTGAATTTTCTTTACAATCACGAGAAGTATGTCCAGTATTTTTACATTGATAACAAACAATCGTACTTTGGAAGTAACGACGACTTTCCACGGGTTCTAACCGCTTAAGATTACTTACTGCATGGCTTTCTGAATCACCAAAATGGACTAAAGCATAGATTTCATGTTCAGTCTCTTCACTTAAAGAATCATCAATTTCCAAGGTACATATCTTATCTAAGAGTAAAGAATCGGCCATATCAGCCAAATCAAGAGACTCTTCATGGACAAAAGGCAGGCTCATTGACAAATTTTTGCATGTCGGCTAATACTCCCCCCTTGTCGGTTGGTTTATCCATGAATAAGTTGGTTTTAGCGATTAATAATTGGGAGCCTATAAAGATGATGGTTGATGAGGGTTTGCCGGAACAAGAGATAAGGGTGATTTCACAAGTAGTTGCTGAGACACTTGATGGCCAGCCACGTATCAATCGGTCCGATAGTATTGTTGATTTATTAGAAGAGTTTTTGATTTCAGTATTAGATGAGTACCAGATTGTTTTGGATGATGGAGTGCTAAGGGAGTTTGCCATGATAATTATTGGCGTTCACAATCGGTCATTGCATTAGCATTTAGTTAGTATTGGGTTGGTATTGAGTGGGAGTGCGTAATTGGTATTTAGAATGAATAAATCGATGATAAGTATGATGCTCAAAATACGTCAATCAATGTACAACAATCAATGTACGACATTCTTTGCTGGTGTGAATGAGTCTTTGAACTATGATAGCCGTATTGTGTTGGGTTGGGTTGGGTTGGGATTAAGTGAGTATTAACTGTGGCACGCCGAGCATGAAACTCGCCCAGTTTGAAATACAAAAGCCCTCAGCATGTGAGACTTGGACATTATCTTTATTGAGCCAAAGTACCAACCAAATGAGCCTCCTTTCTGTCTCTAGGACCAGGAATACAACCTTTCATCCCTAAGGGTAGATTTAGAAGCGGATGGTGTTAGATTTTATTCAACTATACTAACTCGAGAGTTTTAGATAAGCTTTTATAGATTAGATGGTGTTAGTGTTGGGTTGGGTTGGATAGGGTTCATTGGCCAATGCCTACTCTATTAAAGACATTCCTTGAGACGAATATCGATGTGATTTGTTAAATAAATATGGTTGTGTGAGGGGATGACGTCATATTGAATTGTAGGGTAGATATGTAAAACTAAATTGGTTGAATAAGATTGACTCTATTAAAGCTGCAAGGCGTAATTAGCTGGCAAATCATTAGGTTAGTAGTGGGTTGGGTTAGTAGTGGCCGTATTGGTTTAGTATTGGGTTAGTATTGAATAGACATACTTAGAAAGTAAGTCTTTTTGATATTCTACTAATTTAGAGAGTTTGCTTGGCTAAGACTAGAATATTTTTGATATTGATATACTATAGTCTATATATAAAAATATAAGATAGCAAATTGTAAAATGAACAGAAGGTTAAATAGATACTCTTTGAATGTTTATCAAGTAGTTTTCTTGGTTATTGGTTTGTGTTGTGTCTGGTGTAATACTGTTAAGAATTCAGATAAGATGAGGTGGCCTAATAGATTTAAAAGAAGCAGGGTAAATAGAGATAATCGAACAAAATTGGTTTATGCTGGGATGACCAATGCAATAGACGAGCTGGGAATCTTAAGCGAGAATCAATTAACGCGAATAGATGTAATAAAGCAGGGCCAACAGAGCTTCAAGGAAGAAAAGCATGCGGCTTCTGAGAACATGAACTCAACCCAAAGCGATTGCAGCTTCTCTGACAAATCAAAGGATATATTCGAACAGGAGAAGATTGATTCGATATCTCAACTAGTCAGAAAAGAAATAATACGGCAAAGGCTTAATATACTTGCCCAACAAATGGAACATTGGACAAAGGAAAGCAGGAATGCCCAGGCGCAATCGGGATCGCAAATGGAGAGCATAGATATGCTAGTAAATACAACCCAACAACTAAGCAAAATTAAGCGCGACTTAAAGAACTCACGAAATCAATCCCCCGATTCACAAAGAAGCATATTTGAAAATGGTCTAATCACAATAGGCGCCCGATGCAATTCCCATGGATTAACAAGCCGAATCAAAGTGATCGTAATAGAAGAACTAACGAAAATACTACCTAAGATTGATACGTTAGACCGGGTCTATCTAACAAAAATTATAGATCCAGTGATAAATCAATTATTGAAACCTGATGAACTCAGAAGCCCCGACAACGTATCTAGGATAATTAAAGAAACGCTAGCTCAACTTGATAATAGGTTTAAAGAAATGGAGGTTGAAAGTGAAAGTGAACAGGAGCCCACAGATTTAGAACCCTCTAATTCAAGAACTCGATTAAGCAATCCCCAAACTAACGGATCAGGGATGGTTGAAGAAGAGTTAGTTCAACTTGATAATAAGTTTAAAGAAATGGAGGTTGAAAGTGAAAGTGAACAGGAACCCACAGATCCAGAGCCTTCTACTTCAAGAACTCGATTAAGCAATCCCCAAGCTAACGGATCAGACATGGTTGAAGAAGAGTTAGTTCAACTTGATAATAGGTTTAAAGAAATGGAGGTTGAAAGTGAAAGTGAACAGGAGCCCACTGGTTCAGAGCCTTCTACTTCAAGAACTAAATCAAGCAATCCCCAAACTAACGAATCAGGGGTGGACGGTAAACTTCATTCAAGTAGCAAACCTGCTGGTCAAGATTCTACGTTATCTTTTAATGGATATGGGTTTAAACTGCCCGAGTTGGATCAAAAGGATTGTACACTTAAGTTAGGCTCAGAGCAAGAAATGCTTCTTCGGAAGTTTATAAGTAGCAGCAACAAATCTATATCAAAACCCATTCCTGTTTGGAGAGTGTTTAATATCAACGAAGATAACCAATCCAGAAAGTATGGACTATCTAGCACTTCGTTGCAAGCTAAAGATATGTTTTCCCTGAACCTTGATTGGGAAGAAAGTGAACTGATGAAGTTACTAGGTATCTTAAAGAAGTTCAGTAAAATCATATTCAATGCGGAAAAAGTCTGGCTAGAGACTCCTTACAACTCTGCTGCTTTATTAGTCCTAGCACAACTCTTAACACTGTTCGAAAGCTCAGGGTTAAGTGCTATGAAGAAACCTCTTGAGGTTCTTATCCTTTTGCCGTATAGAACTTGCCCTTCTTTGGAGTCATCATTCAATGATGTCAAGAAACGAGAGCAGTTCCGAAACCAAATTGAGAAGATCGAAGAGTCGCGATACATTATCAGCATGGATATTTATGGACTCACATCAAATGTGCAGAAATTCATTTGGCCACTAGCAACACATTTGTCAATATCCAAAATAGATATATACCGCCCCCAACTGAACAAGATAGACTTTCTTGATGACGTCAACTGGATAGACCGATTCTCTCTCAAATTATGCTTAGACTACCAAAAGGGCCTTACTATTAGTTTAGGAGCCAGGACCACGAAAGGCAAAGATCTCCCAACTTGTGAATGCTTAGCTATTGATACTAACCTTCCAGACCAAGACCAACCGTCTAACAGCCCCACAAAGATTTGTGTTACAGGCCTTACTGAATACCTTCAACCCAATTCTTTTGATGAGGATGGCAGGCCCTTAAACACTTTATTACAGGTGTCCCCTGACATTTCAACATCTCCATGACCATGAGTTGGATATGGTTCATTGGCCAACACCGACAGAAGTACTTGAATAAGTTGAGGTAGTAATTGGGTTAGTATAAAGGTAAAGGAGTTCTCTTTTGGGTTGGTATTTGGATTGGGATTGGGTTATGATAACAATACTAACCCAATACGGCAATCTGGTACTAGCTTTTACTTGCCGGAGCCAGGAACTATACTACAGATGCTGGCACATACACTTGAGCAAAAAGGTGTACGTGTGGTTAGTATTGATTTGGGTTAGGCATAGATCAAGATGCATTATTGCTAAACATCGATCCGAACAACATATTGCTAAGCATTGGGTTAGTATTGGGTAGTGCAAATAAAGGCTTCTTGTCAACGATTATACTAGATCTGTTTATATCATAGAATATGATAAGAGATAAGAATTAGACTATAAAAGGTGATTTTGTTACTTTAAAGTACTTTTAGATAAGAAAGGAAGAGAGCGAAAGACCTGAAAGTATCTATCTCTCATTTGGGTTGATAGCCACTTTCAAAACATTCGCAAAATAGTGCGAACTCGAGTTAGTATAGTTTGTCCGTGTATATTTTAAACTAGTAGTTGTTAGATTTTCAAATAAAGCATCTTTATTGTATTCTG